GGTAATTCCCTTCCATAAAGGTCAAGATCTAGTAAATGACTTTAGACTAACTTTTTGGTGCTAGATCCATTGTGACGTCATAATCAATTTTAACTTTCTTTTTCCCGTATTTTACTCTAATAGAATTATGTAGAAAATAAACTATTTTCATGGAATTCAATTTGAAATCATGTGAAAAGTAATTCCGGTACCTGTATTCAATTTAATATTATTGTAAAGAAGAGGCCAAGAACAAACAAATTATCGTTTTCTGAGAGACTGTAGGCAATCTGGATACATTTCCTTTGTCTGATATATGGAAAAAAACTCCCGTATTCATGACTGGTTTTCCTAATTTTTCATTAAAAATGACAGTTTAAAATATAATTATAGTCTGTATCATCCAGACGTTTGCGTTTACCTCCACAAACGCAAACGTCTGGATGATACAGACTAAAATATAATATGATTTTTCGTCTTGTTCATCTACAAATTATGCCCCGCAACACCTTATTTGACCAAGCTAAAGTTATAAAGCATCATTAAAGGAATTTATTTCTCAAATCTGAGGATTCTGTAGGCACCTTTCATTTACTAGATCTTGACCTTAAGGTTCATACGGATAATCAGTTCTCCCCCAAGAGTATGGCATCACTTTGTTAGGGTTTTGTACTATTCTCTGAAGAATGAATGGAAAGGCGAACTTTTTAATGTTACAAATGAGGTTTACAAGTTTCGGTGTTTATGATGTAAAGAAAAACTTACTGAATGCATAAAGACAGCATGGGATTCAGAAGTAAAAGATCATGCGAAACACAGTTGCTAGAATGTGTGGATGACTTAACTAGAAATCTGGAAAATGGAAAGCAAACTGATTTGCTCATTTTAGACTTTTCTAAAGCTTTTGATAAAGTGTCCCATAGCCTACTTCTTCATAAGTTACATCACTATGGAATCAGAGGAAACACACATCGTTGGATAGAAGCTTTCCTTTTAAACAGGAGCCAGGTAGCGGTGGTTGAAGGGGAAGAGTCTGATGTTGGTAAGGTTGAGTCTGGAGTACCCCAGGGATCAGTCCTAGGCCCGAGTCTATTCCTCTTCTACATAAATGATCTACCAAACCACCTAACCTCTACAGTTCGGCTCTTTGCAGATGATACCATAGTATATTTAACTATATCATCGAATTTAGATTGTCACACCCTTCAAGAAGACCTTGATAAACTCTCTCTTTGGGAAACAAAATGGAAAATGGAATTTCATCCAGATAAATGTACAGTACTTACAGTTTCAAAAAAGAAAAACCCTATTATTTACAACTATACCCTTCACAATCATATACTTGCCCATGAAGAATCTACAAAATATCTAGGCTGTACTATAACATCCGATCTAAATTGGGGACTACATATTTCAAATATCTGTAAGAAGGCAAATAAAACTTTAGGATTCCTACAACGCAATCTCCATATATCATCCAGATCAATAAAGGCGAGAGCATACATATCTCTGGGAAGACCGCAGCTGGAATATGCTTCGACAGTTTGGAACAAGGTCACATAGATATGTTGGAAAAGGTGCAAAGAAGAGCGGCACGATACGTCATGGGAAATTATAGAAATAGATCTAGCGTATGAGAAATGATTAAACATCTGGAATGGAAAAATTTAAAAAGTAGAAGGAAAGATGCAAACTTGATTATGATGTATAAGATAATAAACAACAAAGTAGCCATCAGACCAGAGGACCACTTCACTAAGCCTGTAAGAAGATCGCGGCACACAAAACAACACTCTCTTGCAATACCATCTGCAACCAAGGACTGTAGAAAATGGTCTTTCTTCTGTAAAACCGTCAAAGAATGGAATAACCTGCCAGAGGACATCGCGGCAGCAGAATCACTCGAGATCTTCAAATCTCGAGTGACTAAAAAGTACTAACTTGTAAAATCCTTTTTTTATCCAGTTTAAAAAAAAAAACAAACAAACAAACAACAACAAAAAGTTTCTTTTAATCATGCAAACATGCGCACACCCAACTGGCAAAATCTTCAACTTGATGAAGGCGGCCAGATAGAGGAAGAAGAAGAAGAGCAGTGTTAAAATAACTATATTAATTTCTACATTTCCTGCAAATTTCTTCCCATTACAACTCAAGGGGGTTCAAGACTTTTTGGAATTCGGACATTTTAGTAACTTATCAGCATTGTGAATGCATGTATCAGTTTATGTATATTCATTTATGTCTCTGCATTAATCTATACAAAATTTAAAAAAAATCATTAGTGATAACACTAATCCGGTAAACAGAACATACAATGTCGCAGCGGGATCGGTATACAGGATGGCACTAATTGAATAAACTAACAATAGGGACATCCTCGCAAGCCAGGGATCCTGAGTCAACACGTTGCCGTCCAACGGCAACATGTTGACTCAGGACCCCTGGCTTGCGAGGATGCAATAGGGAATAAGGGAGTATTAATTAATGTAAGTTCTATTTATTTCACTCATATTTTCTGATATCAGAAAATCGATTTTTTGATATCGGAAATTCATTTATATATATATATATATATATATATATATATATATATATATATATATATATATATATATATATAAATCGATTTTCTGATATCAGAAAATAACTTTTTGATATCAAGAATTCGATTTTTTGATATCACAAAATCTATATTATTTTTCTGATATCAAACCCAAATTTGATTTCCTGATATCAAAAAATTTGATTTCCTAGTATCAAAAATCAAAAAAATAATTTTCTGATATCAAAAATTCAAATTCTTGATATCAAGAATTATTTTTTGATATCAAGAATTCGAATTATTGATATCAAGAATTTGTTTTTGACTGTTGCATCTACATGTAGTTGGTAGTTATCTCAATTTGCTTCAATTCATGTTCTTTATCTGTTCAAGTTGCACAAGTGTACTGTATTCCTTTTGAACTTTTTACAAGGGATGAGAAGGGAAAACAACTGATTTTGAAAGGGGGTGGCATTTTTTTCTTGCCAGTGAAGGACAGATTACTTAAGTAATTATTTTCAACATAAAAAAGGAAAATGTCAAACTCCAAAACTATAATTCGGGGGGGGGGGGGGGAGACTGTGACAAAAAACATTAGTTCAATCCAGTTAAAATTAGATGTTCCGAATCCGCTACCGCTTCTCAAACTTTGAGAAGCGGTAGCGGATTCGGAACATCTAATTTTAATTAGATTGACATTAGTTATTTTCTTACCGAGAACAGATTATTTATTTCCAAAATCTGCCACCCTATCCCAACCCCTCAGTCAGAATCAAATTGTTTGTCTGACTGTTATTTACTCTGGGACCATGACTGGAATAAACGTATCTTATTTTAGAACTTTAAAAAACATTGCTAATTTAAATTATAGTTTTCATGTCAAATTAATAATTGATTTAAATTAAGATCAATGTTTTGTACAGTTCGTAATTTTATGATCACGTTCCATCGGTCTGTCATATCGTACCGCGAATGGTAGTACTGAAATACAAAAAATACAATTTTGTTGTCATATTGTAATTTTTAGGAGGGGGTTCTTACGGGGGGGGGGGTAGGAAGATTGTTTAACACTAGCTACGAATTTATTTTAATTTTATAGTTCTGAGAAAATCGAAGCGTGAACTTATATTTGTACGAAGAAAATTTTCAAATTCTAAAAATAGATGCTGGAAATAAATCTACTGGGTTACGGTGGTACATTATATAGTGTTGGAGCTGACTAATAATTTGATTTCATGATTTTGTAACACGAAGCGAAGTTGTCGTCAACAAAATATTATGTAAGAAATACTACAAATGCGATAACCAAAGTTTTTGGAATTTAAGATAGCCCATGCACTTTCGTTTTACGAGCTCTAAAATTAGCTCAAATTTTCATGTATATATTTAGATACGAAAATTTTTAGTTGAAAATTTTACAAAATTTGTTGCCATTTTCCCTTGTTTAAAAACCCAAAAAGGGCCAATACGGTAAGTTCCATATTTTATAAAATACTCGATTTGATACGAATTTAATTTTAGCTCAATTACTATACATATAGACTTTGACGTGCACCATAATATTAATGCATGTACATACGCACACAATCACCGCATTTACTATACACATATAGATTTACTTATTCTAAAAATAATTCGGGGCTATAGACCCTACAGGGGCAAGAACTAGAGCTACAATATATAGTTGGAGGAGGGTGCGACCTAAGAAGAAGAAAAAAAAAATCACTTAAAACGAACTCTTCTAAGAGAAATGTGGGGGCGGCTTGGTCAGCCCTATCTAGAATCCACTCATAACAATCTGAACGAAATCCTTAGTCAAGAATGGGGTGCTTACATATTGATATGAACTGGATGAAAAAAAAAGTTTCAAATAAACTTATTGAATTTTAATATAGAGATAGATATAATTACAGAATGATTTATTTACAAAGAATTATACATGAGCATAACCGTTGCTGAAGAAAGACAAATATTTGATACGTATATATAGTTCATAAAAATTGAATAATTCAATTAAGTTTTTCATCTAACTTTTTTTTGATTTAGTTTTTTTTAAAGATATATTAAAAATAAAACTCAGTAGCAAAGTGCACAGATACATTAAAACAATTTCCTCATTATCACCTTTATATAATGATTGAAATGCTGAAATAATATCGCTCTGAATAAATCTTTTTCTATATCATTGTGCTTTAGGGAAAAAAGGGGGAGGGGTTTAGACTCTGACACTTTTTGCGTGTTTAACGGCGCCGATAATGATAGTGTCTACGTAAAATAAAGAATTTAAGCGACATGTTTTTATTATTTTAATTAAGAACACTCATTCGTAAATTGTCTGCAGTATATATAAGATCAATTTTTGGTGATTGCTGACATCATGCGACATACCATATATAAAAGCTTTTAAAATGCACTGTTTTTGCAAAATCTTAAATTGATCATTAATGAATTTTTGTATCTACTTTCAGACTGTATAATAAAGATATTAGAAATATATAGGAAGAATGGACAGTCAATCACACGGAGTATTCAGTAAATTGGTGTTTGTGGTCACTATTGGGACTTTGATTATTTTATCCCTGTGCCTCAAGTCTTATGATCAGACTTTCTGGACATCTACAGCTATACAGCTTAAAATTAATCATTATAAGGAACTAAGTTATGTGTTAATTTTTGTAACTCTTGGATTAATTAATGTACTTGTTGGAGAAATAATTGTGAGATCACTCATATTCCTCGAAGAACTCAGATACATCAGACGCCGATATGATGGAAATGTCTGTAGTGTGATTCAACAAGTTTTTCCGCAAAGACTAACGTCCCCTTGTTTACTTTACCTATTCTTGTAGCTATCATGACTTATTTGAATCTCAAAGGCGATGGCATGTTGGTAGTGTGGCGGATCCTGTTAACTAAATGGAACTGTACTTTTATTATTTCTATTTCATTAATACCATATCTTCTTAAACTACATGTAAGTACTTTAGATAAAAGCTTAAGGTGGATAAACCCTCTAACAAGGGAGATAACTCTGAAACTATTAAGTCACAACCTTTCTTAATTTTATTAAAAAAAAATATCATAACTACTGTACATGGAATTTTCCTTTTAAAGTGATTAGAAAGTCATTTTCCCTAAATTGCAGAAATCTGATACTAGATAATTTGAATATGTTATATAGTTATTAAAATAAATTATATTTGTATAATATAACAAAATGAAGGTACCCACTGAAAATGTACAAGTTTGATATAAAAAGCTGTTTATTTATTAATTATCTATTTTTTTTTCTTTGCAGACCCCAACAGTATCACAATTAAACAGAATTTTAGAAGAACAGAAAATGAATGTTGGTCATGGTTTTGCATGGTCTTTCTATTTTGGATATTTAAGGCTTATTATTCCAGGTCAGTTTTAATTATAAAATTCTGGTAACACTGAGTACATTTAAACTCATAAAAACTTTAATAAATTCATTTGTATACTCTTGTAAAAACTTGTTATAAATTTAATTTTTTTTTTTTCATTTTCTTCCTTTTTAAATGACAGGATTGCATTCACGTATTGATTCCTGGACAAAGACTAATATTACAGATATAAATCAAAAACACAAAGTAATACCAAAGCTTTACATCTTAATCCCGAAATCTTGTTACTGTCCACCTTCAATAACAGCTGCGGATCCACACCTGAAAGTAGCTGGAGTAACTCCCTCCTTTGTCGCAAATAGAGCAGGAACTCAGCGTAGAGAATATAAAAATACTGTATATTGTTTTGAATCAGATGGGATGGTAAGTCAATATTTCAATGTAATTATGTCATAAATGCATGAGAATGGAGTCATACATGAGAAATGAAGAAAAGACATTTTCCCATATACATGTAGATGTATTGCAATTTTTTTAAATATTTGACACCCTTTTTGTGGCCCCAGTAGGCAGTGTCGATTGCAATATGCACTCAATGAGAAAAATTTCAAACAAGTTTGGTGATACTTTTCACAGATATATTACTGTTTGGTGGAATATGCAACACCTATATTGTCTCTGTATGAAATGAGCAACAGCAAGGAAGCTGGTTTATCATCGTATGAACGACTTCAACAGATGAATACATTTGTATCAACTCTACAGGAAATAATCAACTCCAACCCTGACACAAAAAATTATTGTAGCCTTGTTGTCTTCGATGGTATGTCATTTATATATATATATAAATTAACATATAAAGTGGAACTATTTTGATATCAACTAAATATATCTTATTTAATAAATGTACTTGTGTTGTAGATAAAAAGCCTGATGGAAGTGAACAATCTGTGACAGAATTGTTGAAAGAAAGAATAGACATTGATCTGAAGGAACAAGCTCTGACAAAATCTTTCTAATAAAATGTAGAAAGGAGTTCAAGAATGTAGTTTTGTGAAAAATAAAATAAATATAAACTTCATGAAAAACAGACATTTCTACCATTATTCAAAACAGATCACCCATAAATAGAATGAGAAGTGTGACCTACTTTACAAATACATGCTGTATATGTACATGCATATGCAATGAAGAAATCTAAATCTCTTATGATATTTTTCAAAATTTCTTGATAATATTAAAAAAAAAAAAAAAAAAAGCATTGTGTTCAACAATTTATTGAAGCCTTTATAACTATAATTACTCAGTCCAGCAAGTGCAGCATTGAACCATTATAACTGATCTGTCAAAGCCTTTCTTCCACTACTTTAATATCTTACAGTATAAACTTATGTATTTTTTTCTGACATAATAAAACTTGAGTTTTAGTCCATCTGTCTCGATGACTGTGCCAGTTCTCCATGAACTTGAATAACCTTTGTCCGTATCTAAGTTTTAGTACCAGGTACTCTTGGACCTTTGTCTCGTCCTGACATTCTACCATATTCTGCATTACTGCTTCATCCACTCTTCAGATTTCAGTCATTTTTTATCACTGCTTCATCCCAGGGCCCATGAATATTGCTGGAAGGGGACAAAAAGAACATTTCATCTGTGAATCTTATTGAACTTTTACATATACACTATGAGGGAGAAAATCATGTAATTTTTCCAAGAGCTTAAGAAAAGATGAGTTTGATAAAATATTTGCAATCAACTGAATCATAAGTTCTTAAAAGAATTCCAGCTTACTTCTTCAGAGGTTGTAGACTGATTAACCAGGCAGGACATATAAATGTTATAAACATATGACCTAGAATAAACATGACTGCTGTAACCATGGAGATGGTAAACAAAGCTAACAGTGCAACAGTTCCTAATACCACTGTCAGAATTACATTTAGGACAGGAAGGGCTTTCTGAAACATAAATTCCAAGGACATCCTTATAACAATAATTAAACATAGGTAATCAGAGATTACAGAGCTCACCTCAACGAATGTTGTCTTTAAGTAAGGCAAAGTCCCACACTAAACTAATAATCTAGGAGTGTGCATCCCTAGATGCAACATTTATGCAATTTTGGTCTGATAGGGCTTGCAGTTACTTGGGAGTGGACTTATCTGAAAACCTAAAACTAGTCACTCATCCAGAAAATGTAAGTCAAATCCAGCATCCGAAGTTTTGAGATTGTTCGTCCCTTGATGCATCATCCATGCAAGTTTGGTTCAGATAGGCCTTATAGTTACTTGGAAATGAGATCTGCTCCAAAAACTTTAATCTGGTCACTCATCCGGAAAATATTGGTCAGATCCAGCATCTGAAGCAAGTCCAGTTGTGTGAATCCTAAGATGTATCATCCATGCAAGTTTGGTCAATATAGGGTTTATAGTTACTTGGAAATGACATCTGCTCCAAAAACTTTAACCTGGTCACTCATCCGGAAAATATAGGTCAGATTCAGCATCTGAAGCAAGTTCAGTAGTGTGCATCCTTAAATGTATCATCCATGCAAGTTTGGTCAATATAGGGCTTTTAGTTACTTGGAAATGGGATCTGCTCCAAAAACTTTAACCTGGTCACTCATCCGGAAAATATAGGTCAGATCCAGCATCCGAAGCAAGTCCAGTAGTGTGCATCCTTAAATGTATCATCCATGCAAGTTTGGTCAATATAGGGCTTTTAGTTACTTGGAAATGAGATCTGCTCCAAAAACTTTAACCTGGTCACTCATCCGGAAGATATAGGTCAGATCCAGCATCCGAAGCAAGTCAAGTAGTGTGCATCCTTAGATGTATCATCCATGCAAGTTTGGTCAATATAGGGCTTAATGTTACTTGGAAATGAGATCTACTCCAAAAACCTTAACCTAGTCACTCATCCGGAAAATGTAGGTCAGATCCAGCATCCGAAGCAAGTTCAGTAGTGTGCATCCTTAGATGTATCATCCATGCAAGTTTGGTCAATTTAGGGCTTATAGTTACTTGGAAATGAGACCTGCTCCAAAAACTTTAACCTGCTCCAAAAACTTTAACCTGCTCCAAAAACATTAACCTGGTCATTCTTTAGCTGAAATTGCAGCATCTGAAACCTTGACTGGTACAATGAAACACACTAGAAGCATCCTCCATGCATCTCTGACTAATATAGGCCATAGAAGTACTTGAAAAGAAAACTGCTCCAAAAACCTTAACCTGGGACGCCGACGCCGACGCCGAGGGTATTACATAAGCTCCCCCAACTTCGTTGAGGTGAGCTAAAAACGTTAGTAGACAAAATGTTTGTGTATATCCTTTAAATGGTGGTAAAATGCAAATGTGAAGAATAACCTTAATGAAAATATAACAGCATTCAAACTCAAAGAAAGTTTAATAAAAAGTTTACCTTTACTTTATGTCTAAGTCTGGGCCAAAGACCAAAGATAAGAAGTGAGAATGTGACGGTGGCAAACGCATGCAAGGAACTGTGGAGTCGGGATGCCAGGCACACAGAGGCAAATATTGCAGCATTGAGTGAAAATGCTTCTGACACCCTAAAATGAACAATTTTCAATGGAAATACATATTCAGACAACTAAAATTGTTCAACTGTATCAGAAATAATTCTGTAATAAATAAATAGATGAAAATCCAGGAAAGTACCTGGTATGACAAATTTTCTTACTATTCATTTAAAAGGTCAGAATTTAATGAAATAATAAAGATATAGGTACTAACAATGCTGCCTGTACACCATAATTATGGAATGCCAGATTGGCAAGAAGCATCATAGTGGTCATAGCATAGATTGTGTCTGTTGAAATGGTTTCTGTTAAGGACACAAGCACCGGGGACAAACAAAAACTAAAACCCATGAACATCACAAAAGTTTTCAGATCTTCCAAAACTACAAAAAAATATATTAAGTTTCAAAAATTTTAAATAAATGATATTGGTACACTTTAGCATGGACTTTACTTTCCTGAATTAGGAGAATGCATCCATTTTCAGTTTATCTTAATTGAAGATAAAATGTAAGCTTGTAACAGAAGTATTGTTAAATTTCACAGTATAAGGCTCACAAAAAATTTAACATTGTATATTGTAAATTAAATGTCCATTGAAGGTTATAAATACATAATATCTTTAGCCCTACCAGTTCTCTGAGGCTCATCCTCTGTAGGGTTTGATTTAGTAACCTTGTCCACTAGCTTACTAACTATATAACCAATCACAGAGGCAGCTATAGTAATGACAACTAGACTGTCTGGTGAAAGTCGTCTATCATCCATGTAGATAAAAGATACAATGAACAAACACATGCTGGAAAAATATGAAATTATTTATGTTCATTATCACTTTTTATGAAGCTTATTCTATACTTGCTCAGGGGTAAAGAATTTGTTTTTAAAAAGTGCTGTTCATTATAATCATTCAACCGTTTTGTCTTCTAGATGTCCAGGAGCAGAGAAGTTTTTTTTAGATTACAAGAACTTTGGTGGATTTGGCAACACACTTCAGGCCCCCTGTTTTGTTTTGTTTTTTTTTTTTTTGGGGGGGGGGGGGCTGGAACAATAAATTTCACTGTTTTTCTTTCCCTTCATCCATAAATGGTTGAAATTACTTGTTTTTCTTTCCCTTCATCCATAAATGGTTGAAATTACTTAAGCCATTTCAGATAAGTTGAAAATGTTTTAAAGTATAAGGATGAAATAGGATTGACAACAGAATCTCCTAGAAACAGGTCACCCATATGACTCAGATGACCTAAAACAGGTTTCTGGTTAAATCCTTAATTATTAATCCCCTCCCCTCCCTCCCATTACAAATTATACAGAGTAATGTAGTCAAAGAACATTTATATAAGACATTTGTATGCATGACCACATGGAATACCCGGTATGTCAACATTGTATGGAACCCATTAATGATATATCAGAATATTGGTCAAATGTGAATTAAATTTTCTAAACCTCTTAACACAAAATTACGATACTGGAAATCAGCTTAGTCATAATTATTGTCTCAGACAGGTAAGGGTAAGAGTAATCGTTCAGAACTAAGCTTTTAACTAAATAATTGATTGACAGCAATTACAAAAATAATGTTATAATGATTTAATATCTAGATTTATCCATCATCATATTAAATTTTACCTTTTATTTGTTTTGGTTGAAAAATCAGTGATGGTTTAGAAATGCAAGAGTTGCTGTTATTTGTTTGTCTGCCCTTGGTTTTGAAAAATCCTGTAGATTGCAACAACTCTATCCTCTGTTTTTAGAGGATACAATCTATCCTCCAAAATTGGAGGCCGCCTAGACCTGTTTACTGAGCATTGAACCATTTTAAGAAAAGTGCATGATTTTTATTGAAAATACTGTACTTTTAACCTATGCCTGAACAGAGGCCTAACATACCTGTATCACAACAGAAATTAACATATATATATCCTGAGAATAATCTTACCTACTAATTTGTTGTGTTATTTCACCAGATGCCCTCACGACAGACCAATATTCATATTTTCTGATGTATACTAAAACGACAAAAAGAGAATATATTTATTAGCACGAACTTTTATTTGCAATGGAATTACCAGGGACCTATATATTTATAGTAAGTAGGTCCCTAGGAAATTAGCTGCAATAAAGTAGCCCTCCCCCTTTTTGGAGAAAATATCACATTAAGAGGGCTACATTATAGTGTACTGCAGCTACTGGGAAATGGGCCTATGAAAACATTCATTGAAAAAAAGGACACTTCCTGTCAAAGATCCCATCTCAAACATATGTAGAGAAAAGGTTCATACGATTCTTTCTCATTGCATCCAGAAATGAATCATCTGTATAGTTGTCTGGAACATTTTGATGCTCATATAAAATTTTTCGCCACTTTGTTTTCCTGTGCGCTGCCATTTTCCCTGTCATGTGGAACATGTGGAATGTCACGTGATCTCTCCAATAAGCTGTATCGAGGAAATGACATCACAGTCATTGTTGACAACAAGATGGTGTCCTCCATGAAAACAATAGGAATGGGAGATTATAGCAAATAATCTGATTATTTCTTTTGACATTGTTTTAATTAATCAATATTATAGTTAAAACGACACCAAAATGCCTCCTAAAAAGAAGAAGAGTGGAAAGAAGGGGAAGAAAAGTGCCAAGAAGTCTGGTCGAGGGTCCCCTTCTAAAAGTATTGAAACCATGAATGAACTATCAAAAGAATACTTCATAATACAAATTCGGGACTTAGAAAACAGATTACACAGGTAAATATAATATCAGAAGATGAAAATGGTATGTTTCAAATATGACAAATGCATACATTAATATTATATGTAATTATAGGCAAGACCCATGCAGTATGTACACCAGTGTGTTTATAAGCTTTCAGTGAACTAATCTGACAACCACTGAGTTTTAAAAGGATCCAAAATGAATCTTTTATGTATATGCTAAACTAAACCAAGAATTTTGGCCATGTATGTAAGATTAGGCTAGGTGTGATTTAATTCATCCTTGTCCAGATGCATGTAATCTCTCTACTCCTATAAGAGCCTCGGTAAGAGTTCCTATGCTCCTTATATTCTTTGGATTGTTATGCAACATTTGCAAATGGCAAATCCTTGATTTTTTATTAAACAATCAATTACCACTTTGGCAGTTTAGATGGTGAGAATTTTTACAATGGATCCCAGAGCTAGGTTACACAGGGCCAAGGCAAAAGCATCTCGCCTTGAACCTCTAGCATGCTGGACACATATTGCATACTTTAATACCTGTTTATGGATGGTAGTTTGTAATTTAATTTTTGTTTCGCCTTGATGGTCTGATGGGTACTGACCTGGTACTTATCAGGAAAACCATTTTTATTTTTATTAATAGCCTTCAAAATGATTTAATACATTTGTAATTATCAAGAGAGGTTTTGGTCGACAATACTTATTGCCCATGTTCCTTGAATCCATATTTTTATGGTATTTCTGACTAGCATAGCCATTCATAGTATGATAGGTTACATAACCAATAGCTTATACCCAGTACAAGTTTTGAAATCAGAAGCATCTCTACACATATAATACATGTATTGAAAGTGCAGTAAGATACAACCAATTGATTAGCAAGATAGCATCACATATTGTCACATCAATGGTGCATCATAAGTGCAGGGTTTTGTCATTGAGGATCTCTTTAATTCTAAGGGAGGATCCCTAAGAAATAACAAAATACCACCTTCTTTCTACTCTGTAATGTTTTGGTAAAAATGTAATAAATTAATTGTTTAGGTATCAGAAAAGATGTGATGAGTTGGAGGTAAACAGAGGAAATAACAATGAAAAGTTTGAGCAACTGGAAAAACAGAAGAATGATATTGTGGATTACCTCAAGAAAGAAATTAACAAGAAAAGTAAGTTAACAATTAATGCAAAATTTTATGAGTTTAATGCCCAATATATGCTACTGGTTAGAAAAGAAAAGTTAGTTTGAAGTCTTAATTTTTAAAAACATCATTATTATAAATTCCTTAAAATGTAGTCATCCCTACCGAAAATTTAGTTTTTGGGTAGCATATGCTGAACAAAATTCTACTAAGTTCCAATCACAATTTCTTGTGTCTTCAAATCAGCAGAAAAGTAGCCTTGAAGTGAATTACAAAGTAACGACATCTGTGGAAAATCCCCTTAAAACCAAATTGTTTGATTTTAAATGGATATGGTAAGATTGGCTAAAACTGGTTACAGGGAACAATTTGAACTTCATCCTACTAGATACCAAATCTTTAAAAACAAAATTCAGACTGGAGTGGCTGAGGAGTTGTGATTGACACTTGTACCTGTAATTGGTGAAAAGTAATCAATACTTGATGATTAGCTACAGTAATAGAAAGTAGATCCGAGTTTAATGATACTGTACCTTTACTTGCACTAGATTAACTTTTAAAATCAGATCAAGCTTTCAATAGACAAAGAAAAAGAAACAAAGTATTGATTTTCTTCTTGTAGAACATGAGAATGGTTGTTTTTCAATTAAAGCTTAATCAGATGCAGTCTACATGCTTTATTGTAATTTCTCCCATCCAGCAATTCTGCTGCTGGCTTCAAGGGTATACATGTGTATTTTGATTTGCAGATGATGACATCGAGGATTTGAATGAGCAGCTGATTGGTTTACAACAGACAAGGGAGCTAGAGAAAGAACAAGCTCATGCCACCATCCAGCAGATCAAGACTGAGCTTCAGGAGACCAAGGATCAGCTCACATCAGATAACATGATCTTAGGTAAGCTTATCTATACAAGATGAACATGATGAAGCAAACCTTTATATTGCAGTTAGGATAATGAACTCTTTATGATTAGTGTTGTACTTGACTTCACTCTAAAAAAATGTGTTGTGCAAATAGCATAAAAGAAGCTGATTTTTATCTGTTTAATTTTGAAAGTTAGAGGATTGATTGTAAATCTTGAATGCGGTAAAAAGAGAATTTTGTCTTGTGTTGAAACAAATGATTTCAACTTTAATGAGAGAAGTTGGACTTGATAAGGAACTTTTTAGGGAATGATTGATGGAATTAAATTCTCAGATTTAACACCTGTTTTCCTGACCTGCTTGTTGAACAGTGTGTCTGTTTCATGTAACATTTGATGTCCTTTATTAAGGTGGTAAGTTGGCATCTTTGGAGGAGTTTAAAGTTCACAGAGAGGAACTCATGGCCAAGTTTGCTAACATGGAGAAAGAACTCAAACAGAAAGATGAGGATCACAAATCAGCCATTTATGATCTGGAAAAGAAAGCTGTTCTAGATAAATCAAGGTAGTGTACCTTTTCAGAGATAACTAAGAATAGATCTGTAAAAAAAAAATGATGCAGCAGCTATTATTCTTTATGTACTCAATTCAGAAATACTTTGTATACTATATATACTTGTGGTTAACACTGGATAAAGGCAAGCAAAATCCTGCTTTTGAAAGAAAAGACCAATTGTTGTAAATTTGAAAACACTAATGCATAAATAATTGGCAAATTGAAAAGGGTCCATAATTTTAGTGAAAAGTCTACAATCTGTATTACAGATTAAAGTCAGAAATGGTGCAGAGGGTGAACCAAGTGGCAGCTGAATTTAGAAGGGTGTCAAATAAACAGATGGCAGAGACCACCAAAAACACAATCAGGGAGAATGTGTCTATCACTGCCCAGCTAGCAAAAATGTCAGATAAAACCATGGAGCTGATTCAGGAGAATGATGAACTGAAAAAGAAAGAAAAACAGATGAAACAGCACATAGAAATGCTGGAGGATAATGAAAAAACTCTAGCCAAGAAAAACCACAGTCATCAAAAGGTATGATATAAGGACTTCAGCTATTGCAAAAGATAGCTGAAACAATTCATGGGTCAAAATAATAAGCACATTTGTGTGTGTATGATAAGGGGGAATGGGGACTCAAACGATCTTGGTAATGACTGCTATACTGCCTTGAAAAGATTACTTTCAACTCCAGGAATGAATATATCAATTAAAGATGTGCATTTCTTTTGTTCAGTTGATAAAGATGCTGACAGATAAGTGTAGAAATCAGGAGGCGCTTATCGCTGAGTTTGACTCCCGAGAACAGGAATATCAGGAGCTGGATGCTGAGATCGATTTCCTGAAGCAGCAAGTCGAGTCACAAAGGTAGAAGAAGCTCATCAGATTGCCAAAAATTTTCAAGCTAAAGAACTTCAGCACATGATGTATATACCATAATGGGTTTTCTTACATCACTATGCAATTTTTTTTTATTTTAGAGAAGAGATCCAGAATCTTGCAAAGGAAAATGAACAATTAGAAGAAGATTTAAAGGAAGCTACAGTAAAATACAGCTCAGAGAAAAGAAACAAAGAGAAAGTGGACAAAATTTTGTTTGATGCTGCAGAAGCCATCAAATTAATGTTAAAGGTAATCAATTTGCTCAGAAGTGTTAAAATAATAACATGCACATAACAAGTCTTTTTTTTACACTGAGTGTATTTTCTTTTGAACAGATAAAATGCCTCGATGACTACTGTGGAATCATTTTAATTTGAGGAGGGCAATGTTTGTGGGCAATCAAAATTTAATTGCGTTTTTCACGATTTTGATATTTGACTGCCAGGAAAACATCAGAACCAGTGCCATTATGAAAAGTGAAAGTACACCTCCTCCAACTGGAGGCGGCAATTTTCGATACATGCAAACTGAATTGAAAGTCTAACTCGCATCTTATCAACAGTACAATTTATTAGTACTTACCAATATCACTTTAATTGTTCCTTTGTAAAATAAAGTGGTGGGTGAAAACATTTTATCAAACTGTCGAGGTTCGTTCTGATTTCATGCATTTTGAAATCTCGTGAGACCTGTATGAAAATGTGGAGTGATATTTTCTTTTAAGCAATATTGATGAGAACTAGAAGCATTGTGCTATTGATGATTTCTGAGTTTGACCTTTAATTAGGTCTGCAAGTATCAAAAATCAAGTTCAGTTGGGGGCAGCGAAATTTTTTACTTTTCATAATGTCACCAGTTCTGATGTTTTCCTGGCACGTCACATATCAAAATCATGAAAAACACCTGGAAAACGTCAGATATTTGAGACTAATACAATGCTTATCACTATAAGTACTTAACTTATTTTCATAACTATTGTCAAAAGCTCTCAAGCATATTGATTTATTCTGTTTAAGTCTGATGATACTGAGTCAGAAGATGGCTACAATGAAATTGAGAAGAGGGACAACATGCTGGAGAATCTCCTCATTTTACTGAACAGTGCTGCTGCCATTGGAGTGGGGCCTCAACCTGAGGAGTTTGGAAAGTATGAAATGAGGCAGAAGAGTGCCAGTGAAATGCCTGGCTCAAAACAAGGCATCAAAAGGGGGTAAGTAAGAGAGTCAAATTTTGTAACTAAATTATTCGTAGCAATGTAAATATGTATTAGTAAGAATGACTTGGTTGAAGCATTCAAAAAAATATATGAGCAATGATATGAAAATTTGATCAAGCTTACGGATTTTAATTGTTTTGGTTATGATAGATTTATTCCCCTTATTTCAGAACCCTTCCCATGTCTCCAGTGGCTAGGAGTGGAGGCACACTTCCCCATTACCAACTGGGAGATTTGGGTTTGATTCCACGACCGAAGAATCACATTCCTACCAGTGTAGATAAAATGAGGGTCCTATCTGCCACCACCAGACTTGGTGGTCTCCGTAAAGTACTGACAAAGTCTGTGGCTGTTCAAACAGTTAGTGCTCCTAAGGTATGCCGTCATTCTTTTGTGATCATGTTAAATGGCTGTCATACTTATATTTATGGCCAAGATTGAATTTTCTTTTTTTTTTGCGACTACATGTATATTGTTCTATTCACACCACTGTACATGTATTTTAATATATATGTGTATAATGACATTAATACTTTCCCTTTCAACAGCTCTCATTTTATACATACTTTAGTCTTTGTTCAAATAAATTATCTTAGACCTATTAAACATATGTGAATTATGCCATAGTAAGTTTGTCATGTTCAGTAGAATCTGTCATTCTGTATATTATTCATAAATCACCATTGTTTTCCAGGCATTATTCTATGCTGACATTGTTTTCCAGGCATTATTCTATTCTGACATTGTTTTCCAGGCATTATTCTATGCTGACATTGTTTTCCAGGCATTATTCTATGCTGACATTGTTTTCCAGGCATTATTCTATGCTGACATTGTTTTCCAGGCATTATTCTATGCTGACATTGTTTTCCAGGCATTATTCTATGCTGACATTGTTTTCCAGGCATTATTCTATGCTGACATTGTTTTCCAGGCATTATTCTATGCTGACCAGCTTCTCAGTAAAGCACCTGCAGGTACCCAGGATGCAGTGATTGCCATGACAACAGAGAGGATCAGGTCACCAGGAATACCTTTGGGGCCCATACAAACAAACAAACAAATGACCAGTAAAGTCTTTTAATGTGAAAACATTATCACTGCATGCTATCTGTAATCACGTGACAGAAATTCACATATGTATTGTAATATCTAGTCACGAAAATAAGAACTACCGGTAAAATTGGCTAGTTTTCAGTGTATGCATGAAATTCAAGAATATTTTCCAACATTAAAAAAATAAATGAAGAAATAATTCAGTATAATTTATTTTACATGCTTTTAAAATAATTTTTCTGTGATATATCAATGTACATTTCACACTCAATGAAGAATTGTGAGAGATGCTCATGTCTATCACTTACAATTATTTATTTCCTTTATAATGAAGCATTGTTACAGAAAGTACAGACAGTCTGCCTGTTGCAATATGGTATATCTTATCATGAATTTCACTATTTTGTTGTTATACAAATGGCTGTATGTCTAAGTTTGTATATATGTATTATGTCTCACTCAATAAAGCATTTTATATGATTGTTTTAATGTACATTCTTTTTTTTTTTTCTAGTACCAGTAGTCATGTCACCAAATCTCACATTATTTTTTTTTTTTTTAAATTATATATGGCAACACCATCACAAAGTTTATTTGATAAATAATGTTGTACAACTATGTCATTATAAATGGAAAGCAAGTCAATAAATAACCAAGACTGGTAATACATGTAATGGCTGTATGTGGTATAAAGAAATGATAGCCAGAGTAAACTAGGATTTAGAGCAAGACCTGTCATTTAGCAGAATTCTTTCTAAGAGCATGAACATCAAACAAATGCCGTTTCTGCTATGGTCTATGATTGTGCTGTAGCAAAGGCCATTCTGTTTTTTACACAAGGTGGTATAGGTGTACTGACATTCAGAAGAGAAATGTTTCTTTTTCCCTCTATGTTTAAGATACAATAATCATAACTGAATCTCCGAAGACAAAATATTGTTTTCGTAATCATGAACCAGGTAGGTTTGGGTCAAGGTCATATCTGCTAGTCAAGAACAGAACAGGTGTAGTAACTTTGACCACATAACAAACTGGTTCACTTCAGCAAACACCTGGGCCCTAAATTTACAAAAGAACTTAATATGATTAAGACCAAATTATAATTTTGGGAATAATTTTCTTTTTTACATTAATTTAAAAATAGTTTTATTCTTTTTTTTTTTTTTTTTTTTTTTTTTTAGAAAGAATTCAGAATATTAATACATGCATATTTTATCAGAATCATATATTGCAAGATTTAAAAATCAACTGAAGTTTTTTGTCCTAGTTGTAAGTTCTTTTGTAAAACAGGGGCCCATTTTACAAAAGAACTTACGACTAAGACCAAATACTTTAGTCAATTGTAAAATTTTTCCAAATTAATTATTCTATTTAAAATTGATGGCATAAAGGTATCTTTCTAAATTCTTTTTAAAACTATTAAAACGATTTTCAAATAAATGTTCCATAGAAAGTAATAAGTGGAATTATATGTTGATCTTAGTCATAAGTTCTTTTGTAAAACGGGCCCCAGGCCCCTGCAGGGCAGCTAGTACTTTAATACTGGTAAGTTTTTTTTCTATCTTTGAACTGCATACAGGTATGTTCAGATTGAGACAAACTGACAAAGTGGTTTCAATAATCTTAAATTGTTGAATGTCAACCATTACAACAAAGAATTAAAAAAAAACAATTAATATTGTGTTTTGTTATAAAAATTTATGATTTGAAAATTTAACAAAAATGACAAAACAATGATTATAATACATGTATATTTTTTCAAAGATGAAATCGGAAAACATCTCCTCTTCAGCTGTATTTTTTATGAAGATTTTTTAAAAATCTGAAAGTATGCACACATGGAATAATATTCATTTTAAACTTGAAATGTAATTATTGAATGATACAGATTGATCTATTTTAACAAATCATTAATTTACATGTAATTTTATGTCATTTTATACAAGAAAGTTTGACATAATGTTTCTATGATGGAAAAATTGGGCTCATCGGTACATGATATGTCATAACAAATACAAGTTTCAACTACCAGTACATACAGAACTTGTGCTTTTATAATTAAATTCGTTTTGCCTCAGACTAGAATGACTCTTTGTCGTTGGGTAATGGATGTTACGTGCCTGCTGTCAATATTTCTTTGGACACTGAGTAGAAAAAGTTGAACTGCAACATGGCAGATAAAATGATGTTATGTTATCCAAATTTAAAGAAAAAAAACATGCCAGAGCTCTTTTCACTTGTAAAAGAAACTGATAAATTTAGTATGTCCTAACAGATTTACCAATGCTGTGACTACATTTAAAGTAGCACCCCTTTTCAGTGAAGTAATCAGTAAACAACAAGATGAACAGTGAAATTTGCACAGAGGAGAAAATTGCTTGATTGTACCTGATCTTGGGAGGTTTGTTAAATGTTGTTGGTCCTCAACAAAATAAAACACTTATTAGGTTTGCTACAGACAGTCTACAGAAATATATCAGGTTATTCAATACAGAAATATATCAGGTTATCCAAGCCCATGGAAGGCTTGGCTTTGCCTCATTAATCTATAAACTTTTGTACTATATTCATGTACATTGTATGTCAAATAAAAATTTCTCATATTTTCTCTCTTCACAGTTACAAAGAAGCCTGCCAGAAAGGATTCAAATCCATATTCCTCCATAAAATTTCTGGCAGAGATAAAGATTCCTACTTCATATAGCACCATCCCAGTACAAGACCACCCCCAGCTTGACTAAAAGTCAACTGCTGCAAACTCTACAAAGTCATCTTCATGCAGAACTTTTCCTGCTCCAGACCACCCCTGTCTGAATAGCAATCAATTAACATGTACCCTATACACACTGTCACAAAAAGACTTGTATCACTGTGTTGCTATGCACCTGAATCTAATTTTGGCAAACTGTTTTTTTCATATCACAGACCTAAACATATTTAGTTACAAAATTGTTCTTACTGCTCATTACATGAATAGACCACCTACAAGTAAAAATAAAATTCTATCAGGAGCGACAGAATCATTTTCATTACATGAATAAGAAGCTATAATAAAATTTAAATACAGGTATAATCTTTTAAGGTATGTTGAAAATTATGGCAGAAAATTCTGGTATACTTCAGCAGTGGTCATTTTTAATTCATACCTGTAACTTCAATTGTGGCACCAGTTATATAGCTGCTCTTGTCTGATGCTAGAAAGGCACAAGTATTTGCTATTTCTACAAAAGAAAGCTCATTGTTAAGAAATTAAGTCACAGAAGTTAAAGTTACCAGTCATGTGATACTTAATAACCACACTGGGTTATGGATCTCACAGCATACATTCAACATACATGTACTATATTGTCTTGCAGGCCATCAAAATTTTGAAGTAAATCTGGCAAAAGATACTAAACTTTCCCTACTTACTAGTATGTGTACTTTAAATGAATTTGTCCAAGTTTCAAAAGTTATTTGTCGAGCATTTCACATAAACTACTTTAAAAAAGCCCAGTATGATTGCAGTTGAGTCTATTTTATACCTTCTGGGTTACCAATGCGCCCAAGTGGGATCAACAATTTGGTCATTTGCATCAGGTGTTCTGGGACAACATCTGTCATAGGGGTCTCAATAAACCCAGGTAAAACAGCATTCACTCTGATGTTAAACCTGTAAATGGAATTCAAAATACATGTATAAAATCATTGTATTAAAATGTGTACTTCTTTTATTGTTAATAAATAAGCACATAAATATGTTTATCCAAAAGTAAAATCATTTTTAGAAAATCATTTTTGGGAATATCAAACACCGTAATAGACATATCTTTAATAGCTAGTTGACTTATCTAAAACAGTTCAGTAAAGGCTCATTGTTCATATGTTAAAAAAAAAAAACTTGTCATTTTAAAAATTGTGACCAAATACTTACTTTCCCATTTCTTTGGCCATGGATTTTGTAAGCCCTATGACTCCAGCTTTTGAGGCAGCATAATTTGTTTGTCCAATATTTCCTGTCTAAATTACACATGTAACACTTTAATTATCATAACTATTGGGGGGAAAATGCAACAGAGCAAAATTGCATAGTACTAATTCACTGAAATCATAACTAATATGCACCTGGTTACGGCAAAGTTCATGCATTAACACACATATTTATGCAATAGTTATGATAGATTACTAAAGACAAAAGTAAGTGCCTATAATCATTTATCAATTTCAAGGTCAAATATAAAGACCAAGGGAAACTAAATGTACATGAAAATGACACTAGTAATCAGAATAAGTCACAAACAGAAATAAGCATGTCTAATTAACCAATACTTCAGTCCAATATTTAGGCCATATGGTAAAACTCCAGTGGTGGTATATTATGTTTCACAATTGGCAAACAATGATGTCTATATGTATTTCTTTACTTTTAATATTTTTGATATTGTGCCTACGTCAGGAAAAACTACACCTTTTTTTAATAAATTTTTTCACCTTAGTCATGTGCAGTGTGCCATATATCACCATTAGCTTTTTTCTTGTAAAGCAGTAATTCAATAAAATAAAATCACCAAGATATCTGTATTATTTATTATGTGTTTGCATTTCTTTTTAATATTCATGTAAGAGAGACAAGATTGTGCTTCTCATTGGATTTGAACCCCAGACCTCTGGCAAGCCAGTCCAGTCCTCTACCAGTCAAACTAAAGGGTTTATCTAGTAGGGAGCCATGTATCATACACTACCATATTGTTCCTAGTGTCTAGAGAGAGACATGTTCAAATCTCCTTTAAACTGGCAACACCTGTGGGGCAAAGTTCTGGAGGCAATATCTTTAACCCACCAGAATAGAACTGGGTCCCAATGTGGGAGCAACACATAACAGAAACAGATTTGCCTCCACTGGGCCTCTGGCATTCCAGTCCAGTGTTCTACTGATCAAGCTAAAGGGTTAACCCACTAGTCCACTACCACATTTACCCCAATCTAAAATCTGTCAATCACCTATTATCATTCAATATGAAAGGAATGAGTGCCCCTCCAATGACTTTTTATTCCTTGACAAATACATATCTTTTTAAGAATCCTGCAAAAGTTAAATCTGTCACTTAAAAAAAGGTATTTTTCAATTATTCTAACTACCCTGAACACCTTACCCTGTTTTAAAATGTAAACTTCCTCTTGTAGACACTTCATGCAAATCTAATAAGCAGCACTACCCCTTCCCAATTTTCTGAGTGCACTACACACTGGAATATGGCAAACACAGTACCTGGCAAGAACCTATCCTACAGATCAAGATTCATAAAGTTTACTATTACAGTAATGGCAGATGCTTTAATTTTACCTTTCCCACAAGACTTGATATGTTTACGATGGAGCCAGGAACCTTGTCAGCCAACATTGCCTTACCCACTGCTCTGTTTAACAACCAAGTTCCCTGCAAAATAAGATAACCCCTCTGTTTAACAACCAAGTTCCCTGCAAAATAAGATAACCCCTCTGTTTAACAACCAAGTTCCTTACAAAAGAAGATAACCTTAATAAGGTTAATAATAGTAAGGACTGGACAGAAAAACAACTTTAAAAGACTTTGGTACATTTTAGCCATTCTTTGTAAGTCAGACCAAGAATACATCAATTTCTGAAAAAATAAACACATGTACCTGACTGAAACCTGAATACATGTTATCAATTAATACACTTTCCCACTAACCTTGAGATTGACATCTATGACTTTGTCAAAGTCCTCTTCTGTGAGCTTCATCATTGTCCTGTCTCGAGTAATGCCAGCAGAATTTACAGCTACATGTGGTGCTGATGAATACCTCTCTTTTATTTTACTTACTAGATCATTGACAGAGGCAGAGTTTGAAACATCACATGGGTATGTCTGATGATCCCCTGATCAGAATTAAAACATTAAAGTACGGTAATATGCACAGATCTTTCAGGATATATACTAGACTCTATAATGACCATTTAGTCTTAGAAATAAAAAAAAAAATTGTCCAGGTATTTATTTCTTAAATATGCAGTTTTGGTGATAGGGACAGAAGATGGAATTTTAGTTGGTGTGTGTGTAAAAATTGCTTTAGAGACCGGGATCTGGGGTCCACCTTTAAGCCTCCAGTATGCCCACAGCAAAGCCATGGTAAGAGTCCAGATAGCAAAGCCATGGTAAGAGTCCTGATAGCAAAGCCCCTGGAAGCTCTTTAATTTAAAACATTTTAAAAGTTGCAGATATAAAATGTTATTTAGTCAGAAAGACTTTGTTGTGCAAATTATTATGATAAGTTTAAGAAACAAGAGGCCCATGGGCCACATGGCTCACCTGAGTAACTACAGTAAAACTCATTTAGTTCAAACATGGATATTGCAAAATCACGGATATAACGAAGTTATAAAAATTCTATGAATTCCTTATATGGATATAAAGAATTACGGATATAGTGAAGTAATTTCACAAGTCCAGTGACTTCGTTATAACAGAGTTTTACTGTATTGCCCTTTTTGTTCCTCATCAATAGATTCTTTTTCCTATATATTCAAAGAATATAAAACTTTCATTGTCCATTGTAGCCATACCCTACCTCTGGGAGTCACAATTTTAATAAACTTGATTTAAAACTACCTGAGGATGCTTACATATAAATATAACTAATCATGGCTTTCCTGTTCTTGAGGTGAACATTTTTAAAGATTTTTCACAAATATTACTATATAAAACTTTGAATGCCCAATGTGGCCCCATCCTACCCCCAAGGGTCATGACTGAACAAAATTGAATATATACTGTGATGCTTCCATATAAATATGACTGCTCATGGCTTTGCTGTTCTTGACAAAAAAGAATTTTTTAAAGATAATTCCTATGTTTTTCTATGTAAAACTTAAATTGCCCATTGTGGCCACACCCAAGCCCCAGGGGTCCTGATTTGAACAAACTTGAATACACACTACCTGAGGATGCTTCCAAATAAATATGACTGATCACAGCTTTGTTGTTCTTGAGAAGAGGATTTATAAAGATTTTTCCTATATATACCCATGTAAAACTTTATTGCCATAGTGGCCTCTTCCTACCCTGGAGGTCATGATTTAAAAAAAAAAAAAAACTTAACTCTACACTATGTCAAGAAGCTTTCACATAAGTTTCATCTATTTCGACTGAGTGGTTCTTGAGAAGATTTTTAAATGACCATTTCCAATTTTTACTTTTTTTTTAATTATCTCCCCTTGGAAGAAGGAGTGGCCCTTCATTGAAAAAAAAATGAAATTGTTTATTAAAGGATACTCTGTGCCAAACTGGTTGAAAATGGCCCTGTAGTTCTGGATAAAAAGTGAAATTGTAAAAAGTCAATAATGACAGATCAATGCTGGATTTAAGAGAGGGGGTTAAGGGGTGGGGGCATCCAGAGCGCGCCCCCACCCTAAAACTGTCAAAGTTAGCGTAAATCATAGTTTTGTCTAGAAGATGTAAAAATGTCTACTCTGTAGACCTCATTTTTATCCTACAAAATCTCTAGAATCCAGGAGCTTCCAGGGGCTTCACCCCCACCAAGACTTCACCCTGGACCCACTGGGGGCCTCAAGGCAACCCCAGTCCTCCTGCCTACTTTTTGCTCCCCCCCCCCCCCCCGCCCCTAACTTCAATTCTTGCAGATATACATACAAATTTTGATCAGAAAAGCTCACTTAAATCATCTACGTGCTTTCCAGGGTTTAAGTGAAGGAATTTGAAAAGAAATTCTGAGACAATCAAAAAAGTAACTAGTATTCATTAATCAAATGTCTCAAGAATTTTTGATATCAAGTAGTCAATGTCAGGTTTGTGTATTGTATGTGTACCTGCCACACCCCCTCGAAATCTGTAAGTGTTACAGTAATGTATTGATTTTCAAAAATCATGATTGAACTATTTCGATAAAATCAATAGCAATCTATTCATGACAGCTTTATACTGGGGTATTTTGATCTGATTATAATCTTTTAATGAAAACAAAATATCACCTGTGTCTTTGATCATGGACATAGTTTCTTCCATTCCTTTTTCGTTCGTATCAGCTGCAATTATCGTGGCTCCCTCTGATGCAAAGACGCGGCATACTGCACGCCCGATACCACTCCCAGCACCTGCGTTTATATAATTGATTACTGATTAGTGTATGAAATTCGCAATTGTCTCACACAGCGTTTGCTAGCATAAGACAAGTATAAATTTACAATTAAGCGTGTATTTTTTGTAACGCTGACACTCAATGACACAATTCTGCAAGATACTGATTTAACTGGAAGATGAAACTGTTTCTGTTTCGTGAGGGTCTGTTCAATTTTGTTAAATTCACTGTACCTGTTACAACTGCTAATCTACCCGTCAACATGTTGCCTCACTTGACTTTGTGGTCAAAGTTCGTCTAATATTCAAAATTGAAAATGAAAGTAGATTACATGTATAGTGATAATGCGTACATAAACGTATTCGAAAACATTTTAAACTTTTCAGTGGACATAGAAGATTTTGTGTAATGATGTAGAAAAAAGGATAAAAGTAAGAATTGAACAGCACTAACTATAAGTTATACAGATAATGTCATGATTGTGGCAGATTGAAATGTGCAAAACAAATACAACATGCATATGCTAAAAACATTTTTCCCCATTTCTGCATGAAAATTTTAAAATCATTTCCTTACCCGTATGGGGTCCTTTTCTCCTTTATGCTTAAAAGCTCTTTCCTTTCTTATTAATAAATCATAGAAATTGTTATTTCTTGAAGAATCAGAAATATTGAAAATCTTCAAACACTTTATTTCATAGATGATTGATCAATAAAATGACAAATGCTCAATCTTGGACGGATATGTGATGAAAAGCTTTATATTATTAAATGAACAAAATGATTACCCTGGTACATACATTTTTTTAATGGAGCAATTTGTTTTGCATTATATTGTACAAAAATGTGTGAAAGTGCAAATAGAATGAGGCTTTTCTAGTTCTACACCTGTGCCTTTATATTTCCGAGTACATGCAGCATCTGAATATGTTGTCAATGATGAATAATTTATATTGAGTTTTCTACTTTTTTAATTAGCATCATATGACAGCACACATGAATCTGGAATCATAATTAAATTTATTCAAAATTAATATCCAGATTTCCTTATTTACAATTTTTAAAGAATGCAGAAGCTGATGCCTGTTTACATAAAATTGTTTATATCATGATCACTTGTACTAGCTTTAAAAGCATTAAGTGAATGCAATTTAAATACATAAGAATTAATAGTCCTGTTTTAGTGGGTGGAAAAAGATTTCAAAGCTTTGTATAGAATCTGTCTATCTGTCTTAAATTTCCCATTTTTTGTGCTCCATTCCATCTGGTGGTTTCACTTCTACTTTTTGTTTGCCAACTTCATTCCAATTTGTACTGAGAACGGTTCCACCTGATTCATAAAATGATTTCATCATAGCTTTCTTTGTGTCATCATTGGCATCAGCATATATCTTCTGAAACAAGTTATTGAGGGCAGCATCTCCTTCCAATTTTTCTTCTTTTTCTTCTTCTTTGATTTCAGTTACCAACTTATCCCAGTTTCTAGTATAATGGCTGGAAGTGGGATATTTACTGACAACTGGCTCAGTACCTTGAGGGTTAAACTGCTTAACAGTATCTTTTTGACCATCATTTTCTAATTTTGCCCACTGTCTCTCTTCTGATTTCCGAAGTTTTATCTCAATTTTTGTCGACATAACTTTGCTAAAAGATTTTTCCGGAATTATATCATGGGCCAAATGAAGTTTTAAATTACATTCATCTCCTCCAGGTAACTTTACAGTAACACTTAAAGATTTTGGTTGAATATCTACTGTGCATTCTTCCTTTTTCACGTTTTTCAGCATCACGTTGACAACAACATTTGTTTGGGTCTGATACCAATCATAGCGTGTCTTTGGTGCAATTGGCTTTGGAGGAGGTTGACTTGGCGCTGATATTGGAGGTGCTGGTTCCTTTGTAATCTTCACACTTTCATCCTTTCCTTTTGAAACACCAACCAATGGTTCGACCAACTCGTTATCTGAATTTTTATCTGATATGTCCAACTCAGCTTCACATTTCCTTAACCAGGTTTTCAAGACCTTGTCTTCAGGGCCAAGAATTTCAGCAGCTTGAAACGTTGTATATGCTTCCTTGAACTTTTCGAGGTGAAATAATGCGATACCTTTCCTGACGTATGCTTTCATATTCGTTGGATCGAGTTCACATGCGGTATTTGTATCCGTTAATGCCTCATCATATTTTCCGATGTTGATCTTAGTTTGGGCTCTATTATTGTAATACTCAGGGTTAGTTCCATCTAATTCGATGGCTGTGGAGTAAAGTTCAAGAGCCTTTTCAAAGTTTTCGTTGATAAATTCTTCGTTCGCTTTCTGGAAACATTCTTTGGCATCCATTTTGAAAAGTATAATTTAAAGCCATCCAAAATCTTCCGGATTCTTCTATTCAGGGGCAGACAACTCTTGACAATGGTAAATCTTGGAGACGTTTTCCCAGATTTTGAAGCTGACAGCACGATTGGAAAGATAAAATTTCATGATTTTATTGGAGACAAGTAGGTGTTTATATTTGCAGTGGGAAACGGAATAATTCCTCATTTATTGACCAGGAGTGTGGGTGGGTGGGGTGTGGGTTATGATTTTGAGACAAGGTATTGTAAAATATTTTTTTTAAAGGAAAAATTCTAATTAGAGTTCACTGATTGTAATTTACAACATGTATACTAGTTGGATTCAATTGCCCAAATGGGATATTATAGTCAGTTTGGGATATATATTACCCCAAATGGGATATAAAATTTACAGCACAAATTAATGAAGACTATATAAAAACTTAAAAAGCAACAACTTTTGGTAAATATTAATATTCTTGGAAACAGTCTATATAATCCCATTTGGACAATTGGTTCCAACCTGTCATATGCATTAAATTGCCAAAATCATTAAGATATAATTTAAATCTCTCCTCATTGAACCTGAGCATGCTCATGCAGTGTGTTGTTTCCAGTGAAGGTACAATATGTGCTTTTTTAACTCTTTTATTTCTACATGTAATAATCTGTCCTGTCTAATATTTATGCCCCCCCCCCCCTTTCAAAGAAGGGAGGGCATATTGCTTTGCTGCTGTCTGTCAGTTGGGCAATCTGTCTGTCTGTCAGACCTGTATCAACAGTTTCCATTCATTAATTTTCTTCACAAAGGTTGCACATACTGAAATGAAAATTGGTATACAGATTTATCATAAAAATATCTAGGTCAAGTTATGTTTTGGGTATGATCGAGCAATTTTTGACAGAGTTATGTCCCTTGGACCTAGAAAAATTGTAATTAATTCGGGGGCCTAAGTATTTCACAAACATCTCTTGTTTTTATGTGAATCAAATCCTGCCTCTATATCTTAAGAGCATTCTTAAATAATTTGTATGATATTCAATCATTTACTGAACTTAATTTTTCTGGCTTGTAGATGGTGTGTGCTGTTCTCTCATCCTGCAGACTACACACCTGTGTGTACTACAGAGCTTGGAAAATGTGTTCAGCTCACCCCGGAGTTTGAGAAGAGAGGAGTAAAGATGATTGCACTTTCTTGTGATGATATACCAAGTCACCAAGGCTGGTCACAGGTCTAATTTTGAGTTTTATATATTTTTTGGGGGGTTGGGGGGTGGATGGGGGGTGTCAATTACAAGTTGAGCAATATGTGGTAGTAGTATTTACAATCACTACTAGAACAAATTTAGTAAATCCTGAGCCTTGCGAAAAGTTTTTACTTATTTGTGTGTTACCTAACTTACCTTAGTATTGATCAGACCTACTTTCGTTAATACAGTAAAATATGCATGTAGCAAACAGGCTTATTATAATAATGAATTGATCCTTACAGCAAAGTGATTTTCATTCCTCTTGACTTTGAAATATATTGTGAACCTAATGCATATGATAAATTACGCTTATAATGAAGCATTTTTTAAATCAAGCCTTCCTGGTACATCATTATAAGCTTGCATGTTTTACTACATATATTTCATGCCCACCTTGTACAGGTATTCATCTTTGTGTTTTGGCTTTTGCATTTTCCTTCTTTTCTTTAGAAAAAAATTAAAGGTGCAATAAATTTCATATGTCTTGAAAAGAACACTTTAATGTGTCTGACATTTCCAGCTTGATCTTTTGCATATACATGTATGCCTTTGACACTCAGATATGACGATTCTAATCATGCATGTTCCTAGACTAATGCCTTACTTCATGCATCTTAAACAAGTTAACTTAAAATTTGTTTTGACATAAACTGTTCAGTAGCAATAGAATTGGATCAATTTTTCAATATTCATGGAGATTTAAAATATCTCTATGATTTCTGTACAGGATATCATGCAATTTGTCAACCAACCGAAAGACAAGTTTCCTTTTCCCATCATCTCTGACAAGGGGAGGGACCTAGCGGTTAGTCTTGGAATGGTGGACCCAGAGGAAAAGGATAAAGCAGGCATTCCCCTCACCTGCAGGGCTGTGAGTATACTGTGCAGTTTTTTTTTGATAAACAAGATTTTTATATTACTGTTCTTAGTGACTGTGCATATGAATATTTGATATATGGAATATTACCTTTTTAAAAATCTGTGCTACAAAGAGATTACAGCATTTATGGATATGGCAGTGAAAAAAGAAAAATACTATACTTGACAGTTTGAAATTTTCATCTTTTTCTAGTGTAACTTTTGAATTTGACAGGTGTTTGTGATTGGTCCAGACAAGAAGCTTAAACTGTCCATGCATTACCCGGCAACAACAGGGAGAAACTTTGCGTAAGGTTTCATTTGTATCTCTAGCTGGTCCTAAAAGTTCTAAATGCTACAGACTGTGTTTTCTTTCGTAGTTGGTCTCTTAGCCTGGTTTCATTTATTACACTACTCTAATGTATTTATTTGTAGAGAACTATTACGATGCATTGACTCTCTACAGCTAACAATGAACAAAAAAGTGGCAACACCTGAAGGATGGACAGTGAGTAATTTTATAACAAAACAAGCATTTTATTTAGAACATTTAAAGATAAGAAACAGTCTTTTAAAGTGATCCCATTTAAGAAATCTGTTTAGGTTACATATAAGACTTGTTTATTTTTTGTGCAAATATATACTTTGAATACTGATACATGAACTTGTCATTAAGTGTAACAAAAAGTCGACTGATGAATTTAAAAAATGAAATTTGTTACAGCTGGGAGGAAAGTGTATGGTCCTACCGTCTATCCCACAAGAAGGAATTGAAAAAGTGTTTCCGAAGGGAGTGGATATCAAGCAGGTGCCTTCTGGGAAATCTTATCTGCGATATACTCCACAACCAGAGTAAAAAGATCCACCATTAATTTGTGCAGTGTACATTTAAAGGCATCTTACTCCAACATTATAAAGAAATTTAGATTAAGAAAAAAAACTCATGAACTTTATTTTTATTTTAAACTCAGATTCCAGATTATACACTGCCAAAACTTTCTCAGTAAATAGTAATCCAGACAAATTAGCTTTATTTTATAGCCAAAGTTTTAGGTAGAAATTTATTTCACTATTGTTAAATATTGTTAAAGGATTATCAAGAAGGTGCAACAAACAGCTATGAACATTTATTTTGTTAGAGTACATGTAACAAAGATGAAAGTGAATTCAAACTGCATTAACTAGTGCCTGTATGTTCATGAATTGGTGAAGTAGCCTTTCATTTGTATTTTTTATTGAAACTGTAATTCTTTTATTATTTCTTATGGGCCTTCTTTCCTCAATTTATTATTTTTGATTACTATTTATTTGGTTCTTAACTTGTTTTGGGCATTATTTTGATTGTTAGTATGTGTACCTAGTTTTTGACCGAGGTGTTTAGAACAAAAATCTTACGAAAGTTCTTTTCCCAGATGCAATATCATTGATATCAAATTGCTGGCATGTTATATTTTCTTTTTGATGTTTTTTTGCAAACAATTTTTCCTCAGTTTACAATCTTTGTTTTTTACTAGACATATACTCTGATTATACACATGGGTATTTATTATATACATTTATACTGGTTTTTATTTTTACGCAATGTCTTTGAATCTTTTATATTCATTATTCCTACATATACATGTATATCTCTTTTGGTACAGGGTGTTAAATATAGCTTCAAGATTGCGTTCCAGATTATTTTTACATTCTTTATAGCATAGATGTACCAATATTACAATGTGTCTATTTTATTCATTTGTTTGAAATTTTCTTTTCCTTGTTGTTATTGACTATAACATTCCAAGGTTGTGGCTCAAAATCCTCTATTTAAGACTTGTTTATTGGTAGTTATTTGAAAATAACAATGTGGTTATTAAACATTAATCATTTGTGCTATTGTTTTTCTTTTAAGAAATGTTTCATTTTGTGAAAAGAGGTCATGAAGATATAAACTTGCATTTTAAAACATATTTCGAAATACAATGAATTTTAAACATACCGTATACCGGTACATGTAAGACTATCATTACCCCTTTGGGTAATGACCTGCAAGTGCCAGGGAAGAACCTGGATGGTGTCTTCAGGGAAGAAGACATTTAAGTTGGAAGGAATACAAGGCAGGACGGTTAGGCAGGTGCGTTCAGTAGTGGCCAGATAGCTAGCTAGAGCACGTCTAGAGTTCAAGGAGCCTGGAATTGAATCCTTTACCCTGAGGCCTGATCAGGTCAATATCATTTTCTCCCCTCCTGTTACATATCGAAATTAGTTAGAAGTTTTAGAAAAGAAGCTGTAAATGTTCAATTTACAACCTACAATGAACAAAGATGAAAAAAAAGATCCCAACTGGCCACCTGCATATTTCAATCATTTATGCTTAATACATGTATGTGTAGGGAGATGTTTGCTTCAACAAATGGCAACATTAATTGGCACAAAGAATATTTGTGCTATTTCAAGTACATTCAAAATATCAAAAACACTCTACTATTGGCATGTCTTCTATGCCCTCATTATCAAAGATTTGGGGGCATAGAGTTTTCGGTTCTGTTATCTGTCTATTTGTCTTGCTAATAATGATTGGTTGGAGTTAGGGCTTTCACATTTCATGTGTATTCCTTGTGAGAAGACTTTTCTTTGGGTACTAAGATATTTGACCTTGACCTAGGAATTGACCCTATTTTGCAAAATTTTACAAAATTTAACCTTAGCCATAACTTTGGAACAGATTCGATGGTGCTAGGGCTTTCACACTAATTCACATGTATTCTTTGTGACAAGACTTTTCCTTGGATATGTACATTTTTGACCTCTTGACCTTTGAATTTGGCCTACTTTTGAAAAACTTTAACCTTGACCATAATTTTTGAACCACTGATGGTAGGGCTTTCACATGTATATTTCTTGTGACAAGATCTCCCCTTGGATGCCAACATTTGAGACCTCTAGACTTTGATCTTCGTGTTTGACCTACTTTTGAAAAACTTTAACCTTGGCCTTAATTTTTGAATGGTTGGGCCAGGGCTTTCATATTTCACACATTTATTCTTTGTAGCAAGAACTTTCCTTGAATACCAACATTTTTGACTTCTTGACCTTGGAGCATGTGAGAATTTTTAACCTTGGCCAAAGCTGTAATGGGGGGGGGGGGATCAGTTTTTCCAAACACATCTTATTTTTTTTGCTAGGGTGATATAACAAGTTAACAATGTTCACAAGAAAAAGAAATAAACTGATTTATGTGGTTAAATGCCAGTGATACCTGTTAAGAGTTGAGCATTTGGTCTAAATGCAGGAATAAGCAAGACTATCATTAATGAATCCAGATTTGATCACATGCAATAGTATTATTAAACAAGAATGATATAATTCAATCATGTTTGATAAATACATGTAATACTTAAATTTTATCCCCCTAACTACACTTTTGTTGGAAATTTGCTATTTTTAATGACATACTTGTAAAGTACAAGCATTTGCACAAATACCAGTACCCATTTTTCCATCTAGTAAAATGCCTAATTCCAAACACAGTTATATTTGCATCAATGTCCCTCTATAGGGCAGTTCTGCATTTGCTGCATTTGCTACACAGAGAAGCTATCTAGAGATCATGAATCAAGCCATTACAAAATCAGTAAACTGCATTTATTTCATCAATAAAAAGATATTACAAATATCACAGAGTTGACAGACAAAAATATCAACTGCATGGACGGTTACAGCCAGTAGGGGAATGTTGGCATATAAATAAAACATGTAAATAGACTCTCCTAGTAAATGCACATTTATGTATTTACACATACAAACCATACAGAGTGCAAATAAATAAACAATATTTAAAACATATCACAATCCAAATTTAAAGGGAGAAAACTCTAACATCTGTTTTTTAATTTAATGTTTCCTGGAATGGGCGACCTTATTCACAATATTTTTTCTTTTACATATTTTTAACATGTAGTTATTTCACTATTCACATAAACTTAGTTTTATATGTCCCAGTGTGGATAAGAGGATCAGTAGAGCTGTTTGACTTTCTCCACTGAAGTGTTCCAGCTATCCACCCATCTCTGCTCGGCCTGCATCTGTTTCTGTTTCTCACTGTCAATCCATTTCAGAGTCTTCTCAAATTCTGCTTTATAATCCTGTGTCATTGAATAGAAAATATTTTACATTTTCAACAGTGAAATACTGTGATTTATTTATTGAATAAAAGTGATATTCTCTCACACTGTGAAAGGACACCAAAATGATATTCTGTCACAATGTAAAAGGATATCAAAGCGAGTAAAAAGTAATTTCTGGTCTGTAATAAGATAGAGATACTACCATCTTGATAGAGACCGAAACTTGCCAATTTCTTCCCAAATATGTTGCTAAAATCCATGTTACAGTATTTTCAATCTTACTACTGCTAACCTATGACGTCTCAACAATGACGTCACAGCCTATGGCACTGCGTTAAAAAAAGACAGAGGCAAAGGGAAAATCAAAGAAAATGTAATAAACAGAAAATTCAGTGTTTTGTAGATGGATATGGAATTTATTTCACTCGTGAGACAGGATTTTTTTTTTATATTTTCACTCATGCTTCGCACTCATGAAAATATTCAAAAATTCCTGTCCCACTTGTAAAATCAAATCCATATCAAACTACAAACATTGAAAATCCCCTATTTATCATTGTATAATATAGAGAAACAGATTTTGAGCATTTTATACATACTGCTAGACGTATATGCACAAGCCAAAGAAGTGATAAAAATGGAAAATGGTCAGATGATACTGTTGGACAAGACAGGGGAAAACATAGGAAATTTTCAAGAGCCTTTACATTTTTCACAAAAAAGAGGTTGGGGAATGTATCCATATTCTGCTAAGTTTTGACTCAACTCCAAAAAATGACAGGTTGGATTGATTTAAAGTATGATATACCACTTAATGTCCGTTTGATGAAGCAAAGTAAACATGATGCCAGCATTTTATAATTACCTGATATGCAGTGTCCCTGGCTGTAGTGGTAGCACTATGACCAAGAGTTGTTTTGGCAGTAGTTACTGAGGCTGTTAAGGTGACCTTGCTGGGAGATTCTCCAATCACCAGCTCATTACTAGCGATACCTACAGCAAACATTAAAACATCAATTTCATTTCATTAATGGAATTTTTTTTAATAAGATTAACTATAAAGTTCACTGCAGCTACCAACCTTGCCAGGTATTTTTGCCCCTCGGTAGGGCCCCTTTATCCTCATCATCCTCCAATGGAAGTCCAGCATTCTTCCTTCTGATTAATTCACTGGTTGGATACCTTGTTGGATCAACACCTGTTTATTTAAGAGGTAACTTTTAAGATTTTATAGACTACAAAGGAAAAAATTTCACAAGATCGCTACATCATAATCAACGAAATAACCAGGTATGTCTTTGTAGAATTTTTAATGCTTACGTCCTTTGATGACATCATCAACAACCAGTAAGTTATCGTACTGCAGTAACTGATGCTCTGAAGTTCTGGCCAGCATATCTATAAAGGTCTGGGCATGGGACAAAGCTGAATTCTATAACAAAAACAGTGAAACTGTATAATTTCAAAACAATCTTCCTATGTAAAAAAAAAAAAAAAATAATAATAATGAAAAACCTACTTTAAAATAACACAAATAAAACTTATTGTTAGTCTGTTTTACTCCAATTTTGACATTTTGTGGTTTAAACTTGGAAAGTTCATCATTTTACATAAGTGTAAAAGTACAAAAGAATGCTCTACTTAACAAATTCCTAAAAAACATGGCTGCTAATGAATAGAACAAACCTGTAGGTCCTTGGTGTGTTTCTCTACAGCAGCCACGTAATCCTTATGCCTCCCCTCCTCTTTCTCACAAAGGGCCTTAAGGGAATCTTCAGCATGGGGGTGCCCCAGGGTGGGTCGTAGAAGATGGGAATGCTCTTGTTGATGCTGCTCCAGCTCCACCAGTTTGTGAGAAAACTCATCCGTCATCCTCTTCCTCTCTGCTACAGACTTCTGCAGCTCTTCTTTGAGGATGTCTTTGATAAGGAGACCAGGAACATGGGCCACTGAACGCTCCAGCTGGGTCAGCTGATTCCTAAATTCTGAAGTCCAAAAACAAATTTTTCAGTACACTTTACATGTTTATGTGTATATCATAACATATGTATTGCTACACCTACCAAAGTAAAATTAATTTCAGGATGCAAGAATTCATCAATGCAATGACATGATGCAGAGTTTGTTAACCCTCTGTAAATAGAGGCATCCATTCAAACTTGACAAAAATATCTACAATAATCTCCAACTTTTTAGAATTAAAGTACATGTACATAATACAATTGCTCAATTCAAAGTGAACTTTTGCACCCTGAGAAGAGTTACTTCCCTGCAATACTGACAACACAGCAGTGATATGAGGTGTTACATGTACGTACCTTGTAGACACTGGTTGTGATATTCATCTGACTGAGTGTAATAAGACTGTAACTTCTGTACTATGACATCAGCACAGGCCTCAAATGTCTCCTGCAGGGCCTGGGGCCGAGTCACGGGGCGATTCCCTTTAGATCTATAGTACATCTATATCAACAATGAATTCACATTCATGAAAAAATCCAGTAATGCGACAAATGTTCAATGAAAAAAATCTACAATCATTACAAAAAAAGTAATTGAATTCCTTTCAGTCATGAATGCATTCATTTTTTTTAAAAAATAAAATCACATAATATGGTAGATTTGAGGTTTTGCAGACTTTTTATAAAATTCTTTAAAGCTCGGGCAATATAGAAACTATGAAACAAATAAAGCTATTAACTAGGGATGTCAACGAATATTCGAGTACTCGACTATCGTTCGGTCATACCGACTATCGACTAAAATTTCTTTAGTCGGTTATTCGTTAAAAATGTGTTAGCTAATAGTAATTTTAAATTCAAGGTAATTAACTTGGATCCGTCCATTTCATTTATTTACAGATCAAACATGCCTCCAAAATCTACAGTTTTGGGCATACTTTATATGATGTTAGGATGGAAAAACAGTGAAAAGTAAGTTATCAATTTTCTGTGAAACTGAACTTGTATTCTGCAGTGGAACATCAAATATTATGTATCGTATGCCGAATCCGTCAAACATATAGTCTTAAAAGTAAAACTTTCCTAGTAACTTCTCCGCAAAAATGACAAAAAAGCAGAGCCAGAAAGGAAAATGTTGCTAACACAAACATGATTATCAAGGAATGTCTACCTCTTATTGTTGTAAATGGAGAGGGCATTCAAAAATTGTTTGGTTTTGATTTATATAATAAAGTTTCAACCTGCAATTCCATAAGATTTGACGTAATGCAATATTCATAAAGAATAATTAAACAGCTTTTACAAAATTGTAAATACATGTTAACTGGAGGACAGTTAGCGTAATTAAATGGTGTTTCTTTCTGATATTAATATCATACAGTCATTTTAAGATTGTATTGATTGTTTGCACAAAATCTCATAATTAAAATTTATCGCAAGCTCTTTCTGTTTTTATAAGAGACACGCTTTAATTGTTTACCAGTCATAGCTATAGATCACTAACAAAACACATACAAATGACTTCAAGTAACGGGTACATGTACCAGCCTTATGAAAAAAAAGGACAAATGCCAGTGTTTGATATTCTGCATTTAGATAAAATGTGAAGTAAATATTATATTTGAAATCAAATACAGTGGATACATGTAGATGTATTTATTGTACAACGTAAATGTTTACAATTCAGAGATTCGTTGTATAATGTTGATAGCATAGTATAAATATTGTACAACTAGTCTATAAAAGACAAATAGTAAAATGACATGAAACATTAATTTAAATTTCAATGAATATTCGACTATCGTTCGACTAAAGCCTCCGACTATTCGACTAAGCTGTCCGAATAAAATTGACATCCCTACTATTAACTAATTGCTATAAATATTTGACCTCTGCATTTGTCAGTAGACCATCCAGGGCCTCTCGTAGGGTTTTCTTGATGATCCCCAGTATATGATTCTCCTCCCCTTCCTCCTCCTTCTCACCAAACACCAGGTACTTCCTGTCAAACTTGGTCGACTTACTATTACGCCTCAGTCTGTCAAACAAGCAACAATTTATACATATAAAAATAAATATGATTTCATCTAGCATATAATATTAGTGGTTCTAATGTTGTTCATTATCTTATTTTCTATGTTCATTTATATAATGGTGAATTCATCTTCTTAATAACATTAATTTAAAGTATTATTACTTTTATGCAAATTCAAAATGGCTCTATTGTGTGAATGTGTTAATATTATATGCAGTCTTTTCTTTAAGTTGATAATATTGTAAGTAGCTGTTAAATTTTTTCCATTTTCCCAGGAGTAGACTTCTACAACTGTTATGTTTTCATCTAAAAGTTACTGAAAATAGCCATCTCCCATATTATTAGATCTATAGTATTTGTAGAGTCTTAAGTTTAATCTATTCATGCATAATAATAAACTGTTTGTACTGGTGCAATTCATGCAAATCCAGATGCATTTCATAAACTGCACTCAAGATAATGTGCTTTGTTCAATGAAGAAAGAAAGTGATGAAATGTAACCATGTATGAAATTCTTTTAAGTTGTTCACTTTTTAAAATTCAATTTGTGCACTCCTGTCTAAAAAATTATTTAATCAGTGTTTACAATTTAATGATCAAATAAGAAATTAGATTTCAAAAATGTTAAAGTATTATCCAAATTATATATATAAAATAACACAAGCATCCTGTTTAATATAGTATGATTACAGTCAATATTAAGATTTTTTTTTGTCCATTTTGAAGCAACACACCAGACCTGTATAGGTCCTGATAAGAAGCATTTTCTTGTATAGCAACACCACATTATCTATATATATCCTTGAAAGGACAAAATCATGTAAAATAAACTAAAATTAGAAACACTGTAAAGCTCTCAATGATAGAAATGAAAGATAAGTATCAATCAAACAAGTGGGAATTCAAGGGAGACAATACTGTACCGTGGCATGGATGATGTTCCATGGGGGGTCTCCATACTGTACAACATATAGCAGTATATTTATCACAAGGCTAATTGTCTGTCATTTTAATTTAATATAATAAATATGGCCCAAACTTTTTTGTTCTTTTTCTTTTTACATTTTTAAATGTACAGTTTTGAAAACCTTAATTTTTGATAATTTCTCACATCATATAGTTAATAAAATGATAATTAGCAGCATTCCAATGAAAAAAGACTGGCAAATTATTATTTTTTTAAAAAATACCTTTACATGTACATGTATGTATTAACTCTAATTTAAAAACATATTTATTAATAAATACTAGCTTCTAGTTGAAATAAAACAGACATACTGAGGTGAGAACGTAAGGTTATATAATCAATTTTCATTAACTTATATGAAAAATGAGAGAATTCTAAATTTAAACACACATATTAAAAAAAATGGAAAATTAAAATAAAACAAATGATGCAAAGGGGGAAAAATTACAAGAAAACATTGGTCAAATCAGTAGTTTTTAGGAAATGATATGACAGTTAAAAAAATCTTCATGGAAGACATCTTGCATTTTCCACTGTAACAATAAAAAAACACCTGTACATGTACTAACCCAGACTGAACTCTTTTAGGAGAGTTTTCTGTTCCACCTGTGCTGTGAGAACCTTTCCCTTTAGAAGTCTGTTTGGATTTTTCTGAGGGTGTAGTGGTGGACATAGAAGATTTCAGTTTTTCTCTGGACTCATGATGTGGCATTCCTACAAGGACAAAAGTCAGAATATAGTTGCATATAAAATTTACACATAGGTAATCAAAAATAACTCACCTCAACCAATGTTATCTACAATTGACTGAGTCTAACACCAAACAAATGTTCTGGTAATGTACATCCCTAGATACAACATTTACACAAGTTTGGTACAAGTACGATCTATAGATACTAAAAAATAGACCTGCTCCAAAAACTTTAACTGTACCCTGTAAAAGTAGGTCAGATCCAGCTTCCAAAGTGTATCTGGTAGTATACATCCCTAGTAACATGCATCATCAATGCAAGTTCAGTCACAATAGGGCTTACAATTACTTGGGAATGGACCAGCTCTAAACTGAACGGTTTATTTTTCTGGAAAATGTAGGTCAGACCCATCATCTGAAGCAAGTCTGGTAATGTATATCCCTTTCATTATGCAAGGTTGGTCCACTTAGGACTTATAGTTACTTGCAAATGATATTGCTCCAAAGACTTTACCTTGTACACTCATCTTAAAAGCATTCAAAGAGTGTGGTAGTGTGCATGCCTAAATGCATCATCCATGGAAGTTTGGTCGAGGTAGGGCTTATAGTTACTTAGGAATTAATGATTACACTTATCAGTTGATGGAAAGACTGCTTAATTTAGAGTGTGCTAATTTATGTATTTTTACAGTAGATAAAATCATACCCATCTTTCATTATTGCTGGAAACTATTTGGTTATCTTTTTGATCACCCAATAACAAGACATTCTGGGTTCAATTTCCAGCTCAAGAGACCCAATCTGTTTCTGTCACATTTTCATTACGCAATAAACCATTAAAATTCTTTAGAATAATTGTATAAAGAATCAAGATCTTATGAAGTTTTTAGAATAATTGTATAAAGAATCAAGATCTTATGAAGTTTTACTTCATGTGCATTTACACTGATATTCAGAGACTACCATTAATAGAATATATTGGACCCTACCAGATAATTCTCCATCCAAATCAGCATCCATCCCGAATCTCATTTTGCTTTTCTGGGCTCTGAATATTAAAGAACACAAAATTATATTACGGTACTATTGAAAAAAGAGAGGTTGAAAATACATGTACATGAAGCATTTCATACTTCACAGACAAACACAGTAAGTAATAAATTATACAAATTTTATAAAAGTGCCTAAGATGATTTTATTTTCCTTTCCTCTAAATTGTCTACAAAGTAAAGATATAGGAATCCAAATATCTGAATACATATAAAAAAAAATAATAACCACCAGCATTGCAAGATGTATATACAGAAGGCAAAAGCTGAAAGATTCAACATCCAAATACAACATTCAGAAACATATATTTATCTAGTGAACAGAAAGTGTAGAAAACCCCCTATAAATCCTGTATATCACCGATTTCTGTCAGACTGAACATTGCTTTGCATCAAAATGTGTTCAATAACAACATTTTTCAATTCTTACCTTTTCTTTTTTCTATTTAATTAAAAAATGATAGAAATAAATGTGACAAAAAAGTGGTTTAAACTAAAAAAAAATACTCAACTAATATATAAATCTTGGAGAATGACCCCAAAATATTATGGGCATTGATTGAAAATAAAAAAAATTGCTTGAATTTATTAAATTAAACATATATACATGTAAATACAAAAGACCTAAAACAAAATAACAGCAGGATAATTATATTGCTAGTCCATACCTCAGAATACTTTTAATGACATTGACTGAGGGATCTTCCTGGGGCTGCTTGCCCATCTTGCTGATTGGGGTGGGCTGGACATCTGTTGACTGGGTGAAGCCAACCCTTGCCCCTACAAACATAAGACAACCAGAAATCAGGCAACATATATCTCTCACATTGTACAAATCTTCAGCATCTGATCTGCTTTTTTTGACTAACATTTACAAAAATGATTAAAATTGTCATGAAATAGTAATTACTACAGTATCTACTTGTATACTTGTACAAATGTATCAAAATATTTCACTCACTGTTTAATGAAAATGAATACCTTGTAAATGTTTCATGTTGGAAAGGATGTTTTTGTGAAAACACTGCCATGGCAGTGAATACTTTCTGTGGATAAATATACCGGTATTTGATCCTTGACCTTTAAGTTTAACTTTGACCTTGACTTGACATACTTGGAAGTTACATGCTACGCATCATACACCCACTTACGTACAATTATCTTTCCTAACTCTATAAGTTACTAGAAAGAGAAAATTGTCAATTAAGTTTAAACCCCTGGATGGATAGAAAGACAAAAAAGAGTAGTAATTCCCCAGACCACCTATACTTATTTTATCTTGAATTTACAGTGTAAAAATGAACAAAATTTGAAGTCATTCCAAATATAAACAGATAATCAAACAGAATTCAAATTCAAAGAGCAAAAACTCAGAAAACAAATAACAAAACGTGGTGTTACAGTGACCTGAATCAACAAAATGCACTTGAACAAAAGACCTGGCATGGAAGAATGATGTCTTCGATGCTACAAATCAAAACATTTATGATACGATTAATTTGTCTCACAAAAAGGTACATGTACACTGCACATTCTCAAAATACTATACAATGTCTTAGTGTGGAATAAATATTTAGATAACTTCTGAAAAACAAATTTTTAGTAACAGCTGGTACTTATTTTGAATCACACAGGACATATTAAAGGACAAACTAAAGACACATATATATACACTCAAATTACCCTGTTCACTGCTCAGCCTAGTAGATTTCCTGTCTGAAATCAAATTGCCTCACAAGTTATAGCACATGTACACATACATAATTAGGATTGTTCCTTTTTCTCTTCTTCTCTTTTTTGTGTTTGTTTTGTTATTTGATTTAAAATTCAATGATCAGATCATTTCTAGTTCAAAATTATTATACAAACATGTACGCAAATAAATGTCACCGTGGACTGAGAATTTACCAAAATCTGAAGATTAAAAAGAAAACCAATACATACTGTACAACAGTGAAAAATTGTCTATAATATACAAGTTTAGAAATGATGATTAAGTGCAAGATGAATGTAGATCGATGCAATGTCGCAGTTAATTCTTTTCAAAGTTTATGATGAGCATGATAATCTAATTAGAATTAGATCCTTTGAACCATTAATTTACATAGATCACTTATACTGGATCTTCATGAGTGAATGAATATATTGTCAGACCATTATCCAGTAAGAATGAGTTAACTTTTGTGAAAATGATTACAACTCATCAGTGCCACAAATTACCAATTTATTACAATAGGTGAGATGAACGAGATGAACTATAATACAAAATTCATCATTTTTCACCATGGCAAAGAAAGTTTTTGGAAATGTATTTCAAAATTCAGTAAAAGACATGAGATCTTGTATGATCAAGATACAAATGAACATCAAGAATTAATCACAAATAATTCTCAAAGGTTAAAAAGATACACTGGGAAGGGGGATAACTTTAGGATTAAATATTTACCAGTTATATTACCACATGTACTTTCACTTCCCATACGCATCAATTTCCGTTCAGAAATCAGCACTGAAGACAACCCTCCTAAATACATGATATGTGATCTTTAATTCTTGAATACTTGTACCTTTAAGAGCCTGGTTTTTCTTCCTATTCAGTTTGGAATACAATATTATTCTTACCAAAAAGCCAAGGGCATATATGTGTGTAGTACCCAACAAGGCATACCTGTTTTGCTTTAAATTTCTACTTTTTACTGCTATATTGCATGAGAACCATTTTTTTTTTTAAATTAAATCTTATTTAGTATGTATTTATAGCCTAGCAACTAATACTAGAAATTTGGGAAGACTATATGCCATATTAGTCCTACTTTCACTATAAACCTGACCAAGATACAAATAAATCAAAATTTCTTATTTTCAGAGCTATAAGGGTAATTAAGATATAAACAAGAAGTCCATGGACCACAATGCTCACCCCAGACACCTTGACCCTGCCCTAGTCCTGAGGGCTATGATATGAACTAACTTGAATCTACACTACATATAGTAGGATGATTGCATATTAATATACTAATTATGACCATATTCTTCTTTACAACACAATTCTTATAAAAGATTTTTTTTGTTTGATTCTCAATTGTTACCCCATCCTATCCTAGTGGTTCAAAAACTTGAATCTACACAACCTGACAATATCACTATAAATAATCATGGCCCTATTGTTTGTGAAAGGAAGATTTTGTAAGATTTTTTCCTATATATTCCAATTTTTTAAAAAGTTTCATACCCTATTGTGGCCCAACCTATTCCTGGGGCCATGTTTTGAACAAACTAGAATCTGCCTACCTGAGGATGCTTGCATATTAATATCACTGATCAATTATACAACTACACTGGTCCAACTAAACTTGAGAAGATTTTTAAACATATTTTTCTAAATACATGTATTCACATGTAAAACTTTGATCCCCTATCGGGGCTTCACCCTACCCCCAGGGGCCATGAACAAACTTGAATCTACCTATGTCTTGGAGCTTTCAAATAAGTTTCATCTGTATTGGCCCAGTAGTTTCTTGAGAAGAAGAATTTTTATAACAATCACCCTGTCTATGCCTTTTCTTGATTACCTTCCCTTTTATGAAGCTCACTGTGGTCTTTTATTTGAACAAAATTGAATCCCCTTTACCCATGAATACCCTTTTCAAGTTTGGGTGAAATTGGCCCAGTGGCTCTGGAGAAGATGATATCAAAAGTTTATGATGACAATGACTCCAATGACTACATCAATGACAACTACTACAGGTAACAGACAAATTTTGATCAGAAAAGCTCACTTGAGCCTTCCGCTTAGGCGAGCCTTCCACTCAGGTGAGCTAATAAGCTGTACCTAGTGCTGGGGGTCCCTGCAGGGTGCCTGATGTTGGCCTGTGTGAGGGGTCCTTGATACAGTTCAAGTACACACTCCGGCTCTGGAAGGCCTCAAACACACTCTTTAGAGTCTCATTCAGCTGGCGAGATGTAATTTGCTGTAAAATATTGAGTTATTGCATTAAACTATTGATCATATATTACACTATTAATAGATTTCTATAATCTGCATATCATCTTAGTATTTTTTTTTCTGAATGTAACTTTATTCAATTGATGATTCTTTTTTAATCCCTATAATATGTAGTATGTGACTAGCTTGAGTTGTATATGAGTTCTACAGTTTTGTAAACATGTCTTAAACTCTATCACTCTGTGAAATCTTTACAGAAATTTATGGGTCAAATCATGCTGTTACTTTGATTAAAACTCAGTTTCACTTTATTTCACTCATTTTCACTCTTAGATATACATGCTCTGTTAATTTTCATTTTCATGAAACTTTTTATCAAAAGTCTGTGCATGCAATTTTTAAATGGATTTAAGTTAGAAACAAAATGAAATAACATGAATAAATTTCTTAAGTCTATTATGTTTGTGCTGAGAGGAAAATAAAAATGCTCCTCATACTAAAAATGATTGCATGCTGAATCACATTTTGCCTTACTCATTTTACATGACTAATAATCATTCTAGACAATGTAATTTTGAAATTCTTGTAAAAAAACTAATTTTCTGTAATTCGATGAACAAGATACTTTCAGCAAAAAGATAAAATTAGCTTTCCTAATAAACCTCTACATGTAACTGGAGCATGAAATAGTTCAAATGAGAAAATTTGATAGAAGGTATCTATGAACTAATTTTATATGTGATGTTTCACACAAAGCTGATGGTGAACAAATTAAGAAGCTAGATTTGCTCTCTTTGACTACATAATTCTTTGAACTACGTATATTCTACGTACAGTGTGCTCTTGTGATTTCTATGAAAACCATTTCCTTTATTAAAGAGTTCCACTTTTTTTCTATTAGTACAGAGTATTGCTAAATATTCTATAGGTAGATATTCAAAGATACATATATTAATGATTGTTAAGCTTAAGGTAAATAAAGTCACCAATTAATTTCAAAATTTCCCCATTAAAGACAATATGAGCCTATCATATATCTGGATGAAGAAATTAATTTGATATGTATACACTGAAAGGTTATTTGAATGGTAGATACTTCAATTTAAAACCAAAATAAATTGACCTGAAAGAAAGAGAAATGTCGAATCCAACTCTCCAGAAATATTTAAGAGATTAATACAGTAAACACATAAGCAGCTAAGTTTTTACCATTTCCTTTTTACATGCAGGCTGTTGATAAAAATCAGTAAAATTTACATATCATTTGCAGTAAGTTGCCAAATAAACATGTATTGCCACATCAATAAATCTGCAACCTGGGAAGAAAGGTGTCAAAATATGCATTTGTAATACAGGTAACATACTGAAATATAATTTTTACATATCACAAATGTTTGTATGTATACATTTTAAGCAAATGAGGTGAAAATATCAATATCTATGTGCATGCAAATATATCCTATATGTTGGGAAAGGAATAGCATTATACATGTATGAGAACAATTTAATTCTGCATCTACAACATGCTTACCTCTTTGTCCAAATTGGGCCTCTCACATGCATCAATTCTGCGGTCAAGGTCATTCAAATGCTGGGCCAGCTGCATAGCTTGGGAGTTGCTATTGGCAACCTCTGCCTTAATCCTCACCTGTGTGTTAGTCAACCAGCGAGCTATTTTCTCCATAAATATCAAATCTATCATATGGTTTTTGAATCTGGAAGAGAAATAAAAAGTTAGCACAAAGGAAAAGGATGTGGCAAATTCAAACTTCGAAAGACTTATTCTTTGTTAAAAATAAAACAACCATATTTTTTTTCTAGAAAGTCTTTATTTTATTGCTTAACTAACATATCTCTTCGAAGCAATAAGGTATAATGAATATCATATTATGCATAAATATTTGGGATTTGTACTTGGACTTTGATTAGAAATAACTTTATTTTCTTGTCATCAAAAAAGTTACATTATAATAGTAAGCAGTACTGAAAAAATAAGATCTTTAATCCAAGTATCTTAGGAGTGTATGTTACACCCCCCCCCCCTTTCAAAAAAAAAAAAGAATTCACGTTTTTATTCCAGTGTACCTGTCCTCAAATTCAGAAGCCACCTTTGTGGCCTGATCGAGGCGTTTCTTTTCAATATCCTCCATGTCTGACATAATGGCCCCCTCTGAGACATCTATCTTTGATGACATGTTCTCCAACTTCTTACGATAAACATCGATCTCCTCAGGACAGAAATTACCTCCATCAGAGAAAACCCTGTAGAATAAGGGAATATACAGTTAAACAAGGCAAAAAACTTCAAAATATGGTTCACTCTGTCAAGGAGAACATGATCATGTTACCCAACAAAGTTCATTTTAAATTAATTCTTTATATTAGTTACTCAATTTTAATAATAAAAGAAAATTAATTTAGATGATCAAAATTGTAAAACAAATCAAAAATTACAAAAGGCCCATGGGCCACATCACTCACCTGAGCACTTTGGCTAGAGAAAAGCAGAAATCAGTTACTTCAGTATTCAAAATTTTAAATATATATGTGGTCCCACCCAAACCCTCATCCTCATGGGAGAGGCAGGGGAAGGAGCATGATTTGAACAAACTTAAATCTATACACTACCTGACAATGCTTCAATCCATATAAATATGAATAATCATGACTTTGCTGTTCTTGAGAAGAAGATTTTTAAAGATTTTTCCTATATATTCCAATGTAAACTCGACGGTACCTGAGGAAGCTTCCATATAAATATGACTAATCATGGCTTTGCTGTTTTTGAGAAGAAGATTATATTTTAAAAGATTTTTCCTATGTTTTCCCATGTAAAACTCTGATTGTCCATCGTGGCCCCAACCTACCTCATCATGATTTGAACAAGCTTGAATCTACCTGAGGATGCTTCCATATAAATAAGACTAAATATGACTTCGCTTTTCTTGAGAAGAAGATTTTTAAAGATGTTTTCCTATAAATTCCTATGTAAAACTTTGTTTGCCTAATGTGACTTTACCCTAGCTCCGGGGGTCGTGATTTAAACAAACTTGAATGTACACTTTACAGGAGGATGCTTCCATATAAACATGACTAGTCATCAGATCATGGCTTTGCTGTTCTTGAGATTTTTAAAGATTTTTCTTAAATATTCCTTTGTAAAACTTTAATCACCTATTGTGGTCCACCCTAGCCTCAGGGGTCATGATTTGAGCAAGCTTGAATCTACACTATGTAATGAAGCTGCCATATAAGTTTCATTTTTTCTGGCACAGTGGTTATTGAGAAGCAGATTTTTTAAAGATGCCATTAAATTTTAACTAATTCTTAATCACCCCCCCCCCCCCCCCCTTTGAAAGAGGGCATGGACATTCATTTGAACAAACTTAAATCCCCATAACCTAAGAAAGCTTTGCAGCAAGTTTGTTGAAATTGGCCCAGCGGTTCTTGAGAAGAAGTCACAAATGTCAAAAGTTTACAGACAATATATGACACATGAAAGATGGACACCAGACACCTTTCAAGTAGAAAAGCATATATCATAAAAAAAAGTATCAAAAAAATCAAGATAAACTGCATACTTGAAAGACTTAATAAATCTGGCATTTGATTCCCTCAGCATCTGCAGGGTTTTATCTAGGTGTTTCCTATACTGGAGAAGGGAAGTTCTGATGATCTCCATGAAGTTTGATAATTCATTACCAAGTTGTGATTGTAAGGCAATTAATCTGAAAATAAACAAAGAATGATTGTTAACCTCATGAGTTTAAAATAAACCCTGACAAAGAGAGAAATGGACAATGAGTTTTTGTAACTTTTCAAAGAAATCCAATATATATGCTTTAAAAAGACATCATCTTACTTGGAAGATTTTGTAGCATTGACAAAGACAACTTCTAATGCTTCTATGTCCTGTCTGAATTTGGAGGCTAATTTGTTATGTTCCTGAGTCATCTTGTTAAATCCCTGTCTAAGCTCAGCCAGAGCCTGAATGATGCCCTTAACATGTCTGGTTACTCTCTCAGAGTGCATCACCAGCTCAGCTGAAAAACACAGCATCACAATAAAGAATATGGAAAAAGGTTCCACAGAAAAATAATTATTCTTTCACAACATCAAGTGATTTAACTTGTAATTCCTTTGAAATTTATTTTGAAAAGAGTTTTTATCATTTAAATTTGTATATTTTCTAATGTACATTTCTCAGATGGTTTAGATTTGCCTTTTATCTGAAACTAGTTGAATCTCAGTGAGAATTCTGAATATTTTTTCCATTAAGTCATGAACCTTACCAGCCCTGACATTATGAACATCGAGTTCTGCCCGCCTGGCTCTAGGTTTGTGGAGATGGAACCTCAACTCTAATTCACTGTTCAACTCCTCGCACTGTATTAAGAATAATCATTGTTTTTTTCATTTTCTAGAATTATTATTTCATTTTCTAGAAAGCAAAATTTAATATCAGGTAAATGAAGAACGTGGATACCTACCTTGGCAATCACCACACTTTCTGCTCTCTCAGAGGCTTGAACATGCCATTCCTCCATATGATTGAGGAAATTCATTCTTATCCTAAAATAAAATCAATTCATTATTGTTAGTTAGCTAGCTTCGCATGATAATTTTTAAGGCTTATTAGCTTAATCATTGTAATATTTTTTTTCCAGGAACTTTTATAATATATTTATGTAAACATGAATGAAGAAACAGCATACATGTATATAATAAATCAGAAGAATTTAAAATGAAGAGGATTCTACATGTTTCACTAACAGCTATTAATTGATAAAAGAAAAGGAAGTAGCTAGTGAACTTAAAGGAACTGGAAATGTGTCCATAGGACAGGAAAGTCCCATCCAGGTTCATAAGTAGGAAATGTAGCTTGCCCCTTTGTATACAGTTAGAGTAAATTATGAATAGTGAGGTCAAGGTTACAGGGAAGGTTAAGGTCAGAAAATTCTGACACAGTGGAATAGCTCTCACCAGTTTGTATTAGTGTATGAAGTGCAATGAAAATATCTGGAATATCTTTTTTTTTGAAACTGAATTTTAAACACAACAAATAGTAAAGTTAAAGGTCATAGGGAAGGTCAAGGCATAAAAATATTGACACAGTTGATAAGTTCTCACCAATATGTATCAATATACATGTTTGTATAAAAATATCTTGAATGATTTCTTTGAAATTGAGCTAACACAGATTTTAGAATAGTAAGGTCAAGGTCACAGAGAATGTAAAGGTCAAAAAACTTTGGAGTTGAATACTTCTCATCAATATGTATCAGGATGTGAATTTGATAAATATATCTTAAATAGTTTTTTTTTTGAAACTGCAGAGCTTAATGCAAATTTAAGAAAAGTGATGTCAAGGTCAAGGTAAAATAAAAGGTGCAGTTATAAAGCACTTACTAAAATGTATCAGCATATGATGAAGTTTGACATTAATATGTTGATTTGTTTCTTTGAAACTGAGTCAAATTCAAATTTCAGAAAATTGAGGTCAAGGTCAAAAACGTTTTTGCAGTTGAATAGCTCTCATCAATATGTGAAGTTTGATAAAAACATCTTGAATAGTTTCTTTGAAACTGAGCTAAACACAAATTCAAGAAAAGTGAGGTCAAAGTCAAAGAAAAGGTCAAGGTTAAAAAAAGTTGATGCAGTTGAATAGCTCTCACCAGCATGTATCAGCATATATAGTTTGATAAAAATACCTGAACAGTTTCTTTGAAACTAAGCTAAATTTAAAGTGTGGTGGACAGAGAGACAGAAGGATGGAAAGACAGAAGGGCAGAAGACAGACATGACAAACACTATATGCCACAACCATTTTCATGGTGGGGCATAAAAAACAATGAAACCACATGCACTTAATTTCTCCATAAACCTACTTTTTCTTGACATCAATGAGAATTGCTTCATCTACATCAATTTTCTGTATGTACTCAGGTGTGGAGGGGGCAGGGACCTCCACCTCAGTCATGAAGGTGGTACCATCCTCCCCCTCCTCCTCCTCCCCCTTAGCTTCCTTCTTAGCAGGGACATCCTTCTCTGGGGGAATCCCATATTCCCCTGCTTCTGTGAGGACATAGAACAGTGTTCCCTTTTCTGTAGCTAGAATCTCACTCACTGCTTCTGGGAGGGAACCTTCCTTACCCTATATCAGGGAGAGAGGGAAAAGAAAGACATTACAACATTAACAAGATCTAGAGAATTATACAAGCTAGTACATTTTAATTCATTAGTTCATCATGGCATTCATTAGCTGCAGCATATGTAGTGTTGATCCCCAACTAAATATTAGTCAGTTTCTGAAATCAAGTACATGCTAATAGATGAAGTCAATTGAATGATTTCAAGGAAAACAATATGTACCTGTATAACATATTCACATTCTCAAAGAGAGATAGAAAGAGATTAAGGAAATATAATGGGATTAATGGCAGATCTAGAGGATTATACCCATGCATGCAAAACATTATCAAAAAAGTATTAAAAAACAAAACATTTGACATTCAATATGAAAAAGTGGCTTCTTATGCATACCAGAAGTACACAAAATTCAGGGGTTTTTTTTCAGCACATTATTGTATGTTAAGTGCATGTGTGCTTTAATTTCCAGAAGGGCTATATTACATAATTAATTAATGCACACTGAATATATAAAAATGTACTGTGATCAGCATTTATAAAAGTACAAATAGATATGGCGACACAGTGTTAGACAAACACTGCCCACAAGACATTCAATGCCACAGGGTGGGACTTTGTTGACTTATCTTCTTAAGTTATTCTGATCAATGTTTTTTTTGACTGGAATAATTGAAGTTGAAGGCGTCAATTTATAGGGAAATATTTATATTTAGTGTCTATGGAAAATTACTCATATCAACACAATTATCATAATTCAATAAAAATGATCTATATTCCAGGTCACTTAATTAATGGTGTCTTCAGAGCTGCTTGTCTACAATTTCATGTTTCAGCTTCAGTTGAACCAAAACTTAGTTTTCCACTATCATACACCTGTAGCACCCTTGAGTAATTTTTATTATGACATAACTGGTTAATTGGAGTTATCACTTTTAAGCATAATATACAGTCTGCCACCAGTTAAATGTGGTCAGAGAAACCTAAAGTAAACACTGAGGCATTTGAATTCACTCAAGGGGAGCAGATCAACATTTTACCTACGCTTATATGCACCAAATGCATTTGTGTGTTAATTTCTATAATGTTAAAATGCTTGACTGAAGGTATACACTACCACTCAACCATTCATCGTGTCAGAGAGTTTAAAAAACTGGTTTTGGATATAAATAGCAACAGACGATATATGGTCCTCTGTTGTAGTTAAAGTCTATTTCGACACCGCATAGGATTTTTCACTTGAGGTATTTTATATATAAGCTTATCTGACTGTGTAATTTCTTCAGCTTTCTAAACTTTCAGAGGACTCTTAAACACCATTTGTATTTTCTATGCACCTGAGATTTTTATAGCTAACATTGAGTTTTTATTGATTGTGGATTTTCTAGAGGCCAGCATTTCAATCAACACAATATTTGTGTAACCAGGTAACATGCACTATATTGATCTTACTTTTCAATTTTATATCAGATTCAATAATATATAGGTTCTTGTATTGATCTCTAACCTTCAGTGTAGAATTTGGAAGGCATATGAATGGATATTCACCTAGAGTTCAGCATGTATAGTATATAGTAAGTTTAAATAACCCTATTTTTCTGACTCTTAAAAAGATCTAGCTGTGGTTCTGAACTATTTAAACAAACTTTGTTTCTTAAAGGTATGTCACAACTGTGTTCTTTTGATTTAATTAGTAACAAAAAACTTCATTGATTAAGCTTTATTCGTGCATCATGATAATATAAGTCCTATTAAATAGGACTCTTATAACAACAATTAAAAAGTTTAACTTGTTTGGGACCTGAAGGGCAGAGCAACACATATCTTTGAAAAAAAAATGCCAAGGTACCTGAACCATAAAAACTGTTTTCTTGAATAAATTTCAAAATAACCTGAAATTCAACTTTGGCTTCTGCATACATTCTATGTATTCTAAATCTAAATAAAAATTAACCAGGAAAAAGAAGACTTTTCAATAAATTGTTGTTTAACTTGACAATTACCTTGGCAAACAGTTAGAGAATGTTACCTTTAGAAAGGAATTTTAAATCAATAATGCATTCTTCTTTTACAACTCAACAGACAAGTAAATACGTGGCCGGTACAACACTATGAAACGTTAACCTAGCTAAACTGATATTTCAAAAAAGATAAAAGATAATTCTTTGGGCTTTTTATTTTAATTGAAGGGCATAATATACATTTCTATCAATGCCTTTTATTTGTATTTTCAGATATAAAAAGCCAAACAAAAGAAAGCACAAATGTCCACACTGAAGAAATAAATCAATGATGCTTCCTCATTAAGGAACAGCCAGAGGCCGCCTATCACAATACAGTATTCATGATAATGTTCAATAGTTACAACATTAAAACTTAGTCATTATGGGAACTGCTGTAGACAACCTGTGTATAGGTCTAGAACACGATATTGATGAACAATATCAGTACCAGCCAGGAGAAATTGTCAGGGGTCGCGTGGAAGTGACCTTGACCCGACCCCTCACCATACGCACAATTTCTATTGGAGTGTATGGGCAAGGGGTTGTTGCTTGGGAGGATCGTGACTTGGGGTCATTTCAGGCAGATGAAGAATATATTAATGCATCCAAGAACATTAATCTAGGGACCAGTCATTATGATAAGGGTCAACATCAATTCCCATTTGAATACCTACTGCCAAACAACTTACCTTCTTCATTTATAGGAAAATATGGCAGTGTGACTTATGTTTTAAAAGCAGTTATTCAAGGAGAAAGACCAGGGGAGACTAGCATAACTAGTGAACCTTTTTTGATTTTAAGAAATTCCATTCTTCCTGAACCAAGCAATAAAACTATTGGGGCATCAATAGAAAAAAGACTTTGGTCAATGTGTGCAACTGGGAAACTTAAGTTTAGTGTGGAGTTAAACAAGGTTGGTGCTCTCCCGGGGGAAGATTTGTTTATTCGTGCAGAAATTGCAAATAAATCTCCACTGCGAGTGACTGCAGCACAAGCCTCTTTATTTATGAACAGTGTGTATCATGCAAGACAACGGAAAATTCCATATCATCAAATTGTGAACAAACGCAGAGATGAGCATGAATTAATGAGTGGTGATGGGAGACGGTGGCAAAATGTTCGATTAACTGTTCCACCTTACATTCCAGAATCTGGATTAGAACACTGTGACATTATTGAGATTTCATACAAGTTTCAATTTCGTGTGGAATTATCAGGTGGGAAAGAGGTGAAAGTGGAATTACCGATTCTGATTGGGACTCATCACATGGCTCTGGATCTTCCTGAAAATGCCAAAGTAGATAGTGGTAGATACAATAATGAATGGAGCACTCAATATTTCCCTGGGAGTTCCAATGAAATGGGGAATGGATTTGAAAGGGAGACAGAGAGATGGGAAGGAGGGGTCCCTGAACTTCGTCCAGTGGATTCTACCATGGTAAACCCATTGTTTCAAAAACAACTGCCAGCTCACTTTGAGCGACCGAAGAAAATTTCTCAAGATGAAATGCCAGAGATCATTGAGAATACAAAACTTTGAATTAAGATGTTTTAAGTTTTAATATTTAACTTTTACACTATTCATTCTGTATTTGGGTATGTTTTTATCCCATTGAAAATGAATATGGAAATACATGTACAAATATAAACTTTGAAAAACCCTTCAATCATTTAATAATGATTCTTACAACCATACAATGTACACTAAATGGTATAATCTGATGGGATATATTAAGCAGATTACTTCACTATAAAATGAAGTGCAAATTAAATTTTAATTCCAGTTTATTCATACACTGTATATTAAGCTTTTTCAAATGAATTTATATCTGCTTAAAAATTAAAAGCTTGCCTGACAGTAAAATAAAACAGGAGAAAACATTTTTGACTTTTTTTGTTCGTATTTTCCTAACAAAGATGTTGTGCATTATGCAAAGTTCTGATATTATTTGCATTAGAAGGTGCCAGTTACTTCCTGCAACTCAACAGGTGACAGAAGTAAACGTGTGACAGACTTGCACAAATTGTCAATTTGCATGTAAAAAATGAACAATGGTTAATTCTCTGATTTAAGTTGCATTTAGCGACTACAAAGTAGGAATCTTTTCTCACAGATTACTAATATATTAATGAGAGAAATTCCATTCTGTAAGAAAGGAGACATACAAGCTCTGTATCAAATAGATTTTGAATTATATTATAAATGTAGGTAAAAGATATTAACGTTATTTAAAAAATGAATGAACATGTTACAATTTATTACATTGTCCAAAATTATTAGATTCATTTCAAATTTATGATAAATTAACAATGTTACAAGGACATACAGGGATGAATTTATAGCAACAAGTCCAGAGAGGAGAGTTATTTTTAACTACAGTTGACTGATTATGACTAAGTCTGACTACAAGAGGAGGAGGAATTATTTCATTCGTACAAGTTTCAGTCATGCTGCATACAATCTAATTCCTTTGTACCATGCAAGAGAAATAAATTAACCTAAAGGATTTCTATAAAGAAACTTCCATCTCCAAATTTAACATAAAACTATAGATTTGAAATAAGCATGCAGTTTGACCACTGATTAAAACCTTGCAGTTATCATGCAGAACAGTTAAATGTAAATTAAAACGGTACTTGATCATGTGACTATACAGGTACAGATACTTACCACCGTGTCAATAGGAGGAGGAGAGGTCGATTCAGTTTCATCCTAGTGTCAAGTTAATAAAAGCATTTTCTTACTTATCATTTCATGAAACACCTTTATACACCTGCATAGCTTCATATGCATTGAATTTAATTAATGAGTGTTTCTGATGCTCATACAAATGAACATGGCATTTAATTGTTTACATTACTTGGATATGAATTATTGTGATCAGGGCTAATTAAACCACTCTTCAGTATAATGAGGTAAGAATTTGATGTCTGTTAAATAAAGCAAAAGTTCCTTTCAAGAATTCACAACTGTATTTATCATGTGGACGACACAGAAGAATATGATGCATTTCTATACTCTTATGCATTATTACCAGTTTGTGACGCATTGACTACATAAAATGTATTTGCATTACAGTAACTAGAGCAGAAGATCATAGATGATACATTCTTTTTTAACAGAATATAAAATATATTTAAAAAGCAAAATAATGTGTATGCATAATTGTGTATAAAAAGTAAGCAGTTGAAAACGGATTTCACAGTGGGTCATTCATTACACATCTATATTAAATTTCCTATTTTTTCCAATACTGTAAAATCTAACAAATTAATTGAATAACCCAGAAAATTGACTTTAAATATATCTTTAAAAAATCTCCACAACCAAGAGATTCAACATCTAAAACATTAAAATTTACATACATGTATTTAGAAACTGCAATCAAGGGAAATAACTCTTAACTTTAACTTACCCCTTTCTTGTCCTTTGTCTTCTTGGGAGCTAATATCTTGGACTTGCTTTTTTTCTTGTAATTAAAAAAAAAAACATTTAAAACAAATAAATTGCAATCATGTCTGAAATAAAACTGATATTCAAAACAAGAAAAAGGAAAATATAAAACAAAACACAACAAACTATCAGCAGGAGTACTTAGAAGTTTGTAAAACATCTAAGGTCAGTAAAATTTGATATTAAATATATATACTTACAATTGGTTGATTCCTCCCAACCTCAAAGAATTTACACACACCCTCATCATAACTCTTAAGTTCAGATCTGACCATCATAGGGTAATTCTTAACAATGTCCATCTGCTCATTGTGAAAAATCTCATACCTGTGGAAGGTCACCAAAAGTTTAATGAACAATTTGTATTCAGTGCATTTTATAAATGACCATCCATAAAAAAAATTGTTCTTATGACTACAAGGTACATGAGTTGTCTAGTTTAATTTAAATAATGTTCCGTGAACGTGTGATCTTACTAGCAAAATCTTGTAAAGAGAATCTTTTTTTAAAACTTACGCCTCTTTTATTCTGCTCAGCATACTAAGGGCTTTCTCTAAACTGTCTTTTAGTTGCTTTTCAGTTGCATCTTGCCTCATCCTGTCCATAATGATGTCTAAATGAGCCTCCTTTTCCTGCAAACAATATCAGGAAGATGAATGGTTAATTACCGGTAATGAATAAACAGTAAGAGCCTAAAGCACACCATGCTAAGAATGCTCATATTAATAATCCTGACCTTTCCACCTTCACCTTTGACGAAGTGATCGAGTTAACAATGTATTTCAATATAGAAAAATACAAAAATACGAAAGTTTTTCTTTTCTATGCAAAAGTTATTGTGATTCTGATAATCATAAAATTTAAATCCTCAAATTCCACTGGAAAAATTAAGGTTAATTCAAATGCAGTTTGGCAACCTTGGCCACTCTAGGCATTAACAGCAAACAACCCCCCCCCCCCCCCCCCCCCAAATTAAAAAAAAAAATCATAAGCTTTAGCAGATCACTGCTTACAGAAAAAAGTTTTGTAATGAATAGAATTTGAAACAATTTTTGTGCAATCTGATTAAAATCAGATCTTTGTTACACTCCGAAATTCTGATAGCGACTATCTGAATTTCGGAGCATAACAAAGAACTGATTTTAATCAGATTGGTTTTTGTGCAACACAAAACATATTCATTTAGCAAGTCTCATCCATTTGTCAGATGGGTGAAAAGTGTGGCAAATGAAGCCCTTCAATATTTGAAGTTCATAAAATCTATGTTTACTAACATGCTCCTGCAATGCATGATATCTTAACATGCAGGTATATCGATCATATTTTCAATTATAAAATCACAATGTCAAAAATAAATAAAATTACAGACAACTTCACTTAGAATTAATTTTCATGAATAAAATGAATAATTAAAATTTTGCATAAAGCAAATGCTATAGGAAAAAAAAATTATGCTGCCATTGTAAAGGTTCGTGACATTCTCCACAAACTTTTTCAAGTAGGAGCATCTTATGAACTAATCTTTTTTCTGATACAGAGATATTTTTAATGACCACGACCTAGCTTGTACTAAATCTTGGTCAGGTTCATGAAACATCTCAGTCAGGTGCAATATTCATGTCAACAATTAAACTTAAATTGTTTTCATGTTGCAACAATCTGAACAAGACAGAAATTGTTCTGGCTGACAAAGACATGCACCCTTACAGTCTGATCTCTCTTGTTTAGACTAGTATTAATTGATCATCAACTTGTATTTTGACTTTTGCAAGACTTCATTATCAATATACGTTTCTTTCTTTAACTTTAGAATCTTGCATTTGATAACGAATTACCTGGTTTTGGTTGTCATGCATCTGTCGGCATTGCTCCAGTTTTTCCTGCAATGCTCGCTCTTGTTTAGCGAGTCCAATCTCATGAACATCCCAAACATGGGCAGCTCCCTGAGCGAACTTAAACAACATCTTAAGTCTCTCTGTTGTCTCCTTCATGTATTTCTCTAGGTCTTTCTACAAAACAAAATATGATACTAAATCTTCCATTCTGAATATTCAAACTTTCTCTAGAAAACCCTGTCTTGAATGTCATAAAATAGCATTTTGCACATTCTTTTGAATGTCATACAATGGATCTCTGCAGGAACTCATGTGACAAAAGAATATTACATGTTCATTCATACATGATACACTGCTAATTCTCCATTCTGTGAATTGTATGAATTTCAAAAGAGGTACCATCTAAATGATCTTTTTATGAATATCTATTCAACTGCAGTGCAATGCCTTACTTTAAGTACATGTGCACTTACCTCCATTGTTTCTAAATTGTTCTCAAACACCCTTTGTCTCTCTCCCACCAGGGGTAACATGTTCTGATCCACCACCTGCTGGGCTCGGGGAGGAGCACATATCCCATCATCAATCAGGGATTTCTATTACAGTAAATCAAAATAATTAAACTCATTATCAAAAATATTCAGTTCATATTAAGGCACTTGTATCTTCTTCAAAGGACATTACAAACTGAACAGAAGTCTGTGCAGAATGTTGTGACCAAATCTATTTACATTGCACTAAACGTACATCAAAATCAGAAGTATTTTATTTGTGTTGACAAGTTGATTTATCGGTATAATTAAAAGAGACACATGCATATAATAAAATCTAATTACTTCGGTCATAAGTGTGTTAGAGTTTTATACATCTGCACTATTCATTATACTAGTCAATGAAATGCACATGTACACTGTACATGTATCTACAAAATGAAGTAACTTTAATTTAGCTTCATCTCAAAACTTACCTTAATGAATTCAATTTTCTCCAGACAATCCTGACACACTTTCTCATACTCTGCATGAAGTTTAGTCAAATGCAACTGGTTCACAGAATCTGTCAAACAAAATGCTAACATAGAACTTTGATTTCATTTTAAAGTATGTGATCTACCAGAAATAGCATATTATATTTGCTAAGATCTAATTTTCTTATGAACACCTCACTGAAAATTAAATTTTGAGTGTAGACACTGACCTATTTCCTTGGTAAGATTTTTAATTGTTTTATCCCACTGGTACACAGCTGTTTTTGTGGATGCTGGAGGCTTTAGATCACTGAAATATATGAAATAAAACATCAATACCTTAGAAATACATGATCAAAATATGAGTCTATCATGAAACTGTTATGAAAGGAATTAGGAAATTAGCCATACCATAACTGTGTGATAACTTCTAATCTTCTCTTATTGATCAATTCTTGTTCTGCTATCATGAAGTTGAAGACTTTTGTCACTCCCGGAGGGTTGATAATTTTTTCTTCTTGCATAAAGTTACTACAAAAAGAAACAAATAAAACAGTAAAAAGAGCAGTCTAAAAGTAAAGTTTGTTATTTAAGTATTATATCACAAGAATTTTACTCTTAATTCTTATTTCTGTCCCAGAAGTTAAAGAAAGCCTACACTTTTTAATTTTGACAAATCAGTCTGAAAATATTAGGTATGTATGTTCAGACTGTATAACAGTTAGACATAATGATTTCAGTATACCCCAAACTCTCTTTGCTGGGGGGGGGGGGGGGGGGGGGGGGGGGAGGGATGAAAATAATAAAAAGTACCTAAAGTGCTCAATGGCTAGATCTGTGTTGAGCTGTCTCCAGTCCTCCACTCGTCGTTTCCAGATGGTGTACTGAGCCTTCTCCCTCTCTACATCTGCCGACATTAATCTGACGTACAGGTCAGAATATGCTCTCCTATTACTCAACATTGTCTGGTTCACAAGCTACAATATATAATCAGCAAAGTTTATTTCCAGAATGAATTCATCAAATGATCAATACTAGGCCCCTCTTCATACAGATTTTGATAGTCATGCTTGAAAACGTATGAAATTATGATCAAAATCTGAACACTTGAAGGGGCCCAATTTTAATGGGTTTTTTAAAAAGAGTGCTACAAAATTACAGGTAAACTTCGGTATCTCGACATCGGATATGTCGACAACCTGGGATATGTCGACATCCTTCCATATAAATGATTTGCAAAAACTCTGATATGTCAACCTCGGTAATGTCAACAACCCGGGTTATCTCGACGTATATTCACAGTCCCAAGAGCAAAATTTACCTGGTATATGTCGACATCGGCAATTTTCTGCTCTACTGAACCTAACTGTTTGTCAGATAGGGTTGCTCGTCACGCACAGACGACTCCGGGTATCTCGACGTCGTCGAAGTTTCACACCCATGTTTTGACTGCATGCTGCTTAATTAATTCTATAGACTGTGTTTGTAAGTGAGTCCCAAGCCCCTTTGGCGTCTTTGAGAAGTTAATTGAGCTTGGGTATTATTGCTAAATCTACACAATTCTGCGTAGATGTACAGACTGTTATTTATATCGAAACCTAACTATTAAATTTTAAAAAAAATAACAAAATTACAATGAATAACAAACACACTGAATAATTCAATCTAAGGAATTAAAAAAAATGTTTTAATGATATTTTGTAGATAAAATGTATTCAACAGGAAACAATCCAATTAATGACACGATTGACCGAATCAGCAGTAATTTGTGCATCTGTAACATCACTACGTTAGTTTAGATACTCAAATCTCTTTAAAAAAAATTACTTTTAATGTGCATTCTTCCTGAATGAAATAAGAAAAAAATAATCTGCATTTAATTTTTTTTACCGTATATCGGATGTCGACTTTATACAGTTCGAAGTATTTAGAGCGCATTTTGTATCCTGTTCTGACGAAAAGGCAAGTTACATGCAAATGCAGCTCAATGCTGTGACTTTGTACTGAAACTTTGTGAATTTGGAAAGATTTCGATAAAGAACACGTTTTATAATAACTTCTTACATTTTTAATAAAAATAGAGGGAATTCTGAAATATGTTGAGCTACAGTCTATATTAAAGTCATGTACATATAAAAAGCTTGTCTGTTTTGCTATGCAATGAAATCTTGGACGTCAAGTCTCAACTCTGATATCTCGACACCTCGGATATCTCGACATATTCCGATGGTCCCGTCGATGTCGAGATAACGAAGTTTACCTGTATATACCTGGTAATTTCAAATTCAAGTAACTCTATGACAGCTTTAACATTTAGTTACTAAATACAAGATAGATTTAAACCTGAGACTCCTGGTCAAGAAATCTGCTAAGATCTGGAGGCATTAAGTGGGCAATTTTTTCTAAGGTTTTGGCATATGTCTTGAATACATTCCTCATCTAAAAAACAAAATAATTCCGCATTCAAGTAATACTAACAGTTACGTTTTTTAGGTCAGTTTTTAACTTTTAGAGAAATGTTTAACATATACCAAATCTATACGGTCATCTTCAACTTTAGACAACTGTTGGTCAAGCTCATTAATCCATGTCTGTCTCTCTGCTGAGTGACCTTGAATCTCATCCCAAAGTTTGTGCAGTTCCTCCAGATTGTAGGTTAAAAGATCCTAACAACAGAAACATTTAAATGTAATCATCATTTAATTAGGAAACTGTATTTGTGAAAAACTACTTAAATTTTTTTTTATCTGTATAAAATTCCAACCCTGATACCTCATCTCTCTCTATTCTATCCAATAAATGGTCAATTTCTTTATCATCATCTTCTAGTTTTCTTAACAAGGTTTCACTATATTCTGTGATAACTGGTTCCAATTCCTACAGAAAGAAGCAATTTAAATCATCATTTCACCAGTTAATTGAATTGTTTACAGTTGTTTTCTTTTTAAAGATTTAATTTTTGGTAAGTTTGTTTAATATTCACAGATATAATTTATGAAATTTCATACTACTGTTCATTTTTTTTTTATTTCATCTAACACTGTTGTGGATAACCATTGAAATTTCACTTACAGAATTGATCAGGCTAAGTTCCTGATGAAGATCTTCAACACAAGACTCATGTCTAAAATAAATTAAACATTCTTTTTAAAATGAACATTTAAAAGATAAATTGCACTATCATTAAAGTATCAAAATACACATAGAATATAACTTTATTCGTAGAAAAAAAATTCCATACCTATTCTTCCTGCTAGCTGCTATTCTTTCAATAATATTTGATCCCTCCTTGGCAGGCACTGAAAGTCAGGAGACATTATTATCATGAAAGATCAGACTAAAGATTAAAGGAAATGAAATTTAAAGAATAAGAGATTATTTGAGTAACTAGATCTGCAGTCTCACCAACAACATCAGGCAGCCCCTGGACCTCTTTCCCTGCTTTACTTGATTCACTCTCTTTCATTGTGGATCTCACAAATTCAGAATATTGCCTATAATACAAAATTTTTTTTATCAATTTTGGCATAATATCATACACTAAGTTGCATAAAAATATTTAAGAACCTATAAAAACACAGGCAGATGTGTTGAATTTCATAACCGGTACTTCTGAATAAATTCCATGTATAAATTTCACTTACTTATGTAGAACAGGGTTTTCAACATAAGGATCATTTGGAAATCCATCAGCCCATGTCCGTTGTCTCTCTGTTAGAAGTCCATGGGCCACATCCTCCTTTGTCAGTTTGACAACTGGTATGGCTGTACTCTGTCTCTCTGTGGGCTCATCCTCAAGTGTTGCAGTAACAGCTTCTCTACTTTTCATTTTTGTTAGACTTCTTTGGAGTTGTACCTTTCAAAAACAGAATTTGGATTGGATCAGATCTGATGCCAAATCCTGGCTTTCTTAAGAATAGCTGTTTTAGACTCCAAGCTAGTAGTTCTTTAATTTTCACCATTCAAAATGCTGCATCAATAACCAAAATGTCTACTAAACCATAAACTTGTACAGTCATGAATGCACCACAAGCAATGGTGGTAAGTCACCCTCCTCATCAATTTTAGCCATGTTAGTAACTCTCTGGCTTTAACAACACATTATTCTGTATATTTACAATGAAGTATCTGAGGTTGATAAAGCATACTATTTCATTATGGACAAATCAGGCCCAGTAAAATCACTGTTTAGCTATGTAGCTTGAATTACCTACATGGCTTTATTTAGCTACTCAAAGGAGCTTTATTTAGCTACTAAATCATATGAGCATTGTTTTCAGTCTGTACAAAAAAATGCACTTTGGTGCTGTGCATGCAGTGAAAGTTTTCAACTTTGAATTGCTCAGAAACAATGTATGGAAAATTTGCTTTCAAAGATGTCTCTCCTTTGAAGCAATTGCAATCAAAATTCTTAAAGTTTTGGAGCTATACATAACAGTGGATTTGTGACCAAACACTTATTTCTTAAATGAAATAACAAAGAAGACCAGTTCTGGTTAACATACTAATTGATTGGTAATAATTCATTAGGTCTCTATGGGAAGTAATCATACTTATTCATGTCCTGCTGCCCAAACGATGGTACACAGTTACTCAAACAACGGAAATACATCTTTTCCTGAAAAGTGTTAAACAGCAGCTATCTTTTTTCTGGGTTGATTTTTAAAAGCCCATGGTACAAATATTAATAGGCACACACTTGTGAATTTTTGTCTATTCTAAATAAAAGCAAACTTGTAAAAATTTGCAGTAAAATAGCCAAATCAAGCTACTTTGAGTAACTAAATAGTAACTTAATAAATGTAATTCAAGCTAAGTAGCCATATGTGATATTGTACTGGGCCTGCATGAAAATTGCTTCAATGAATAAGGTCATGTGATCAGTGACATATATGTCTCTGATGTGATGTGTTTTTGTTTATGTTAACTACATATGTTTCAATCTATGTGACAATTCTTTTATTCCATACTAAAAAAATTACCTGGGCATCAAACATCTGCCTGTATATCTTGCCACTGGGTACAACCCGCATTGATGCTGTTTCCGCCATGGTTCAGCACCTTTTCTTTGGAAATTAATTTAACCTATCCAAAAAGTATTTAGCAAATAGAACTGCCACTGATTCTTCTTAACTTTACTTCTGTGTGTCTCTGCCCAAGCAAGGCACAATAAAATATTTAGTTTACCATAATGATATACGATTTTGGTTTACATTTTGGAGAACTTGTCCTAATATGACGCCATATTTAAACAATCTCCAAGAGCAACGTTTAGTTCAGAATTTGATTCTCTCAAAACGAAGTATAAGAATAATTAGAGTTTTCCTAATAAATAATATAAATCTATAAAATGCAATGTAAGAAAAATATGAGAGCATTAATTATCTTAAAAAACATTTTTTTATTTTTTAAAAGTACTACAGGTGAATTTTCGTTTTAATAAAATTCGATCTTTATTATTACCCGCTAAAATGGCTTCTTTCAATTTGACTAGTTTGTTGGAAAGCTTACCAAATTCGACTGACTGGGAGCAATCTCTAATAGATTTGAAGACAGTGTTGACTTCTTTATCACCAAGTGAGTTGAGGAATGTTACACAGAATTTGTCTTACCATGCCATCTTCGATTTATTGACCACTGACAATAAGTAAGTGTCGTACTCCATGATTCAGCAACTTTCATTTTCTCAAAATTAATGCGTATTGCAGCATTGTGGTGCAGATATGATTATTTTTCTTGTAAATCTCTTCTAACTGGCAAAAAAGTGAGGAAATATATCAAAAATGTAATGCATAAACCTTTTACTGGATATCTTTTTCTCTAGATTTGATCCTACATGTAGTCAGGTTGGGCACACCCCACCAAATGGTCATTTATCCCCCGTCTGGTGGACAATCTCCCATATCGGAGACGAATTTTACTGACCATTTGAGAGAGAAAAATGGTTGTGTTCAATTTTCTAGAATGGCGTGGAATGGCGCATAATTTTAAACCATGTGGAATAAAATATAGATATTTATCGGTGTTCTGAGTGAAAAAAATCCAGAATTCAATGTGTAATTTTTTGCGAAGAGTCGTTCAAAAATTTGACATAAAACGTCACGTACGTAAACAAGAGCAACGTTTCTCAGTTTTTACTTAAAAAGAAAATTCCCTCCTTCTCCAACGATGCTGCACCTGTCAATCACGTTCTTTACTTTCTATTTCGATTATCCGGGCAACCAATCAAATAATGCAAACCAATAAAAACGATTATCTTTTTTTAACCTGGTCAAAAGTCGGATTTAACTACGGAGGCACATTTGTGTTAATTTTCAATTAGGAAATCAAAAGAAAAATAAGTTTTCGCCTTTATTTCGTTTTATTTTGTACGTAATGGCTTTGTTCTTTATAAAAATAGTAAATGAAGTTAGATTATGATATAATCATTGTTTTAAAACGATGTACTTGGAACAAAAACAAGAATAATTGTAAAAGTCACTTTGTAAATCTTTTATTGAAAATTATTTATCAAATATATTAAATTCATCAGGAATATACATATTAAACCAAAAAGGTCGCATGGAATATGGAACTTCATCCTAAAAGAAAAATAACAAGAGATATTACGTTCAAGTCTAGAAAAATTAAACTTTATAGCAATAAGTGGCCACCATACCAGTAAAGTAATGAGGAGCTCGTGTTTAACGGGATTTTATGGAGATAAATATTGACGAAGATCATAAGAGCGATTGAAAGTTAACTTATCAAGAGTTAAACCACTGGATAAAATAGAATTTTTATCGTACTAGACACAATCAAATTTTTTTTGATCGATTGATCAAGAAGTTCGGCTATCACGGACAACTCTGGGTATCCAGTGATTTTTTTTAGGGCCGATTTGGGGCCGAAATTCGGTCCCAGTCCCAATTGAAAATATGCCTGTATTTTCCCAAAATGTAGTGCAAGTTTTCCCAAAGAAAAACTTACAAAATATTAGATCAAATTCAGTTTGTTTATTGCATGTTTTTCAGTGAAGTTCAAGCAGGTTTTGTTGTTCAGTCATGTTGGATTTCTTCATAATTAGATAATTCATACCACTATTGTTCTTGATGCAAGTAATTAGATAATTCATACCAAGAATAGTCTTGATTTATTATAACAATTTTTTGTTAAAGTAATTCTGGGAGTTTCCCAAATTAGCCTAATTGACGCTGAAATTCCCAATTCTGAGGGCCCCAGCCCCCAGTCCCAAAGTACTGAAAAAAAACACTGGTATCGTTTTTACGAAGTTATGGAGAAATTGCACATGGAAAATCGATTGAACTATGTTAATTGTGCGAGGAATATATTCACTAAAATTCCCCAATGCCTATGCAAATGCGCTTTTGCTTTATTTTAATAAAATTTGGAATAGAATAAAAAAGTCCACCATTTCGTCAGTAAAAGTCGTCTCCGATGTGGGAGATTGTCCACCAAACGGGGGATAAATGACCATTTGGTGGGGTGTGCCCAACCTGGTAGTTAGAATAATCAGATACATAAAAAAAAAAAGTGGAATAATCTGTGTATTGGGACAAGCCCTTACCACAGTTAGAATAGGTCCCATTTACAGGTAAACTTCGTTATCTCGACATCGACGGGACCGTTGGAAATGTCGAGATATCCGAGGTGTCGAGATATCACAGTTGAGACTTGACATCCAAGATTTCACTACATAGCAAAACAGACAAGCTTATTATATGTACATGACTTTAATATAGACTGTAACTCAACATATTTCAGCAATTCCTCTATTTTTATTAAAATCTAAGAAGTTATTTTTAAAAATATTGTTTATAAAACATGTTCTTTATCGAAATTTTTCTAAATTTACAAAGTTTCAGCACAAAGTTACAGCATTCATGTGTAGCTTGCTTTTTTGTCAGAACAGGATACGAAATGCGCTCTATAAACTTCGAACCGTATAAAGTCGACATCCCAGATACAGAAAAAATAAAATGCATATTGTTTTTTCTTATTTCATTAAGAATGAATGTACATTAAAATTAATTTTTTAAGAGATTTGTGTATCTAAACTAACATAGTGATGTTACAGATGCATGAATTACTCCTGATTTGATTAATCGTGTCGTTAATTGGATTGTTTCCTGTGGAATGCAGTTAAGAAAATATCATTAAAACATCGTTTAATTCCTTAGTTTGAATTATACAATGTGTTTGTTATTCATTGTATTTTAGGTACCTTTTTCAAATTTAAAAGTTATGTTAGGTTTTGATATAAATCACTGCCTGTACATTTACGCAGAATCGTGTAGATTCATCAATGATATTACCTAAGCTGAACATTAAACCTGCAAACACAGTCTATACAATTGATTATTAATAAGCAGTCTGCAGTCAAAACATGGGTGTGAAAGGTGTGAATTTTTGACAATGTCGAGATACCTGGAGTCGTCCGTGCGTGACGAGTGACCCTATCTGACAAACATTAGGTTCAGTAGAGCAGAAAATTGCTGATGTCGACATATACCAACTAAATTTTGCTCTTGGGACTGTGAATATATGTCGAGATAACCCGGGTTGTTGACATTACCGAGGTCAACATATCAGAGTTTTTGCAAATCATTTATAAAGTAAATACTGCCGGGACCGTGGACGGGCATCGACATATCCAGATTGTTGACATATCCAATGTCAAGATTCCAAAGTTTACCTGTAGTTGCAACGTAGCAATTCAGAGTGGATCCATTCCGGCACTATTTTAGAGAATACAAAAGGAGTTCCATTGAAGATAATACCAAATTATTTCAATTATTACAAAACTTTTTGAGCTTGTATAATCTTTCAAACCTAAGAAATAATCCATATAAAGAAAAAAAATCAACACATTTTCTCAACTTTTTTTTTCTTGCTTCAAATTTTTATGCCATGTTGACATTCAGAACCCTCCAGATTGTTCATATGATACGCATAGATTAGAATTATCTGCCCTTGTTAATCTTGCTAAATTGCCAACACACAGAACAAATTCTTTCGTTAAACTAGGTCCTTAGGACAACCATCATTTTAATGATAGAATGTTCCATCTATTTTGATCATTGAGTATTTTATTGCACTCTGTTGCAAGTAGAAAAAGTCAGATTGTGTATAGATCTTGTTATTTCAATTCTTTAAAGTAAGTTAGTAAATATTAACAGTTTTGAAAAGATTAAAGAAAACTACATCATGGTATTTATTTTCATTCTGTTTCATAGAAATATATGAAATTATTCATATATGAATTTTAGAGAGGTGCTTGAGCTTTGTTGCAATGTTCTTGAAAAGCTACTGGATGCATCAGGACCAGCTGTTGTATTTCAAAGCTACAGGGAACAAATACTGAAAGGATTAAGTCACCCACAAGTCATGGTTAAATGTCTTTGTTTGAAACAGGTGAGTCATTGAAATTTCTTAAAAATCCTTATATTTTCTGCTGTTTATCAGATGAAAAAAAATCCAGCCTGATTTATTTCAAAATATTTACAAATACAGTGGAGTCCCATTATTACGATATTCATTTTGTGAAGATAAAATATCATAGTACCTGATCCAAGATAAGTTCCTATTAAAGCTGATATCCTCATTTTGCCTTTAATTCTAATGTTATTTACATATTTTGTAATGAATTTCAATTAAAGTATAGATCTGCATCTTCCTCTCCCATTTTTACTTTCAAGTTTAATGATAGTGTATTTAGATAAAGCATTTGAATGTAGTTCAATTAGCAATCATTGACACATATTTTTGTGTCACTTGAGATTTCATGTTTCTGTTATCACTTGAGATTATCTAAGCTATTAAATAGTGACTCAGATTGGAGTCCATTCCCAGTTATATTAATTAAAAAATGATTTTTATTTGGTCACCAAAGAATGGAGTAAATTTAATAAAGATAAAAAAAAAAACACTTTGTTTACCAATGGCTTTGACACAACATATTCACTTGTATTGACCAAATTAGTTTAGACCTTTCAAGGTGTGATCAGTTCAGTGTCACTAATCATCAAACGTGCCTTTACAGACACCCTGTCAGACCAAAGGTGATACAGTATTTATTTAGTGGCTCTCCATTGATCTCAGTCAGAACTGAAAAAAAAAACCAGGAGGAATATTTTTGCCAAAATTTTTACAATCTAATACCCAGTCTCTGCAGTTT